TTTTTGAATTGCATTTTTAATCGAGCTAAAGTTAAAATCTTACAGCTAACAAATCATAAATACCATTCAAATAACAAAAGTTCTATTTATTATATCACCGGTTGATTATGGATTGTATGGTCCATTGATTATTGATTGTAGAACTATTAGTTATTAAACTGTTATTTTCCATTGCAAAGTTTACTAAAATGGAAAGTATAAAGTATTATTCTGTACAAGAATTAAATGTAATGAAACATCACAACTATTCAACATGAAAAATTGTAATAATGGCTGTCATTCTAAGAATTATTCTTTTGATTTTGTCTTCATTAACTTTAAGTACTTTAGCCATATTGGAAAGTATACAGTATTATTCCGGTGTCTTGTTTGTTTCTCAGAGTGGTGGTTTCAGGCCTCTGATTAAGAATACATAGGTGGAGACTGCATGCCCCCGATTTGGATCCTTGAAGATATTAATTTTTCTGATGTGGAATTAAGAGATTTGCATTCTCTATCATAGACAGATCATAAGTTGTCACACTAATTGTAAGAGTGTACTGCTGTAATATCACAAAGGGAGAATTCATAAAATTATTCACTAATTTAATTTTCTAAAAGGTTACATGATGATTTTTCGGAATAAACGGACATAGGTACCTAATTATTTAAACATATTAGATCTAGAGTTATTAAACTACATTAAATATATTTAAGGTTATAAAAATGTCCATGAAATATTTTTATATTTCACTTCTTCTTTCAAAAAAGTACAATGAAATGGTATCTTAAACAATAGCATTGCCTTGAATCCATGGATTTTAAATACGTTTTCAAACTTAAAATAAAAATTTTAAAAGTTTAAATTTGGTAAGAAAATTTCATTTTATTTCCTTGAAAACAGGTGATTTAAGTTATATACTGCACTAGAGCACTAGAGTAAAAGATGTATGCTACTGGTGTATTTCTGGATGTTGCTGAGGCATTTGACAGGGTCTGGCACCAGGGACTTCTTTATAAACTTAAGAAAATACTTCCTTCCATTTACTATCTTATATTACAATCATTCCTCTCAGATAGATTTTTCTCTGTTCGACAAGGCTCTGAAATCTCAACTATCAGACCAATTCTGGCCGGAGTGCCCCAGGGATCAATTCTTGCACCATTGCTTTACATAATTTACACACATGACATTCCCCTCTCCAGTGACACTTTGATAGCCACCTATGCTGATGACACTACTATTATCACAAGGCACAATGACCCCACACATGCTTCATATACTTTATAAAATCACTTGTAAATCTTACACGACTGGTACAAATTTTGGAAAATAAAAGTAAATCACAACAAATCCCTACACATAACATTTTCACTCCGACGCGAAAACTGTCCTCCTGTCTATCTTGACAATGAACATATTCCCCAATCTGACAAAGTACATTACCTAGGCCTAACATTTGACAGAAGGATGACATGGGGCCCACACATCACTGCTAAGCGAAAGACACTAAATCAACGATTTAGACTATTATATTCTCTACTGGGACGTCGCTCAAAACTATAGCTAAGACAAAAACTTAACACTTACACTTACTTACTAAAACCACTTTGGACATACACATCACAAATATACAGAATTGCTAAAAAAACTCACATTAAGAAATTACAAATATTCCAGGCCAAAACCTTCAGAACAATTACTCAAGCACCTTGGTATGTTAGTAACATAATTCTCCACAAAGACATGCACATGCAAACAGTCACAGAACATATTCAAACTTACTACAAAAGGTTTCACAACAAGCTCTATGGTCACCCCAATAGACTCATCCAAGACATGGCCAATAAAAACATGCCCGATAACATCCGCAGAAGGCTGAAAAGGAGTTGGATGAGAGATCTCCTTAATTAGCCTCAAACATGACTGAAGATAAACCACTGGGTTTTTCTCTTCCTCATGCCTATCATGCCCTTTCTCCTAGTCTATTTGTACAGTTATCTCATTCACTGGTTGTCAGTGGACATTGACAGTTGTGAATTAAAAAATAAAGAGGAAAAAAAAAAAGTTATATACTGTTAATTTTTAGAAATTATTACGTTAGTACCTCATTATTTAAATATAATATCAGATCTAGAATTATTAAACTACAGTAAATGTATTTACGGTTATAAACATATGCTTTATACATCCATGAAATGATTTGATATTTCATTTCTTCTTTCACACAAAGAATACAATGAAATAGTTTTTTAAACAATGGCCATTGCCTTGGTTAGGTGGATTTTAAATACTTTTTCAAACTTAAAAATATTTTAAAAGTTTACATTTACTTAGTAAATTTCATTTAATTTCCTTGAAAACATGTGATTAAAGTTAAATAATATTAGTTTTCAAAAATTATTATTTATAATTTTTTTGCCACTCTCCGTTATCTTCTACAACTTTCTATATTAGATACTATTTTATCTAAAATTCTCCGTTTTCCAACGATATATTATACATATATCTTCTGAATAGTATTTCTGGAGATTCATATTCGACCTGGATAAGCATTTTTATTTTTTATTAAATTATCACACACAACACACCATTTTGTGGGACTTGGTTATTAGGATTCAGGAGACCTCAAAACATGTATTTCTGTTGAAAATGCAGACTACAAAATTTTCACGATCACAATACTTACCCTTACTATATATTTCATATATAGGTAAGTGAAAGTAAAAAGGATCTAATAGTTCCAAAATATGCTCAAAGAGGCCAGCACTATGGAAGGAACAGGAAACTCATACAGTTATTAAAGATGCCAGTACTATCCAACAAACCAATATGAAATTGTAGTTCTAGAATCAGCTGCTAGATAGATTAATTTTTTTTCTCTTTATTTTTTAATTCAAAATTGTCAATATCGACTGACAACTAGTGAATGAGATTACTATATACAAATAAACTTGGAGAAAGGGCATTATAGGCATGAAGAAGGAAAAACCCAATGGATAATCTTCAGTCATGCTAATGTTTAATCAAGATCTCTCATCTGACTCCTTTTCAGCCTTCTATGGATGTTACCAGGCATGTTTTTATTGGACATGTCATGCATGAGTCTATTGGGGTGACCATAAAGCTTATTGTGAAACCTTTTGTAATAAGTTTATATGTGTCAGTGATAGTTTGCATGCTTAAATCATTGTGGAGAATTATGTTACTAATGTACCAAGGTGCTTGAGTAGTTGTCCTGAAATATTTGTAGTATCTGGATGTTTTTTTATCAATTCCACATATTTGTGAAATGTATGTCCAAATTGGTTTTAGAAGGTAAGTGTAAGTGTTCGTCTTAGGTCTAATTTTGAAAGACATCCCAGTAGGAAATATAATAGTCGAAATTATTGATTTAGAGTCTTACATTTAGCGGTGACGTGTGGAGCCCATATTATTCTTCTGTCAAATGTTAGACCTAGGTAATTTAATTTGTCAGATTGGGAGATGTATTCATAGACAAGAGGGCAGTTCTCACGCCGGAGAGGAAATGTGTTGGAATTTTTTGTGATCTACTTTTACTTTTCAGAATTTGTACCAGTCACGTAGCTCTGTAGCTGATTTTGAGTATGATGCATATGTGGCCTTCAAAGTGTCACTGGAGAGGGGTATGTCATGTGTGTACATTATGTAAAGCAATGGTGCAAGAGTTACTCCTTGGGGCTCTCTGGTCAGAATCGGTCTAATAGAAGATTAGATAGAATCTAATTTGCTTTTACACAACAATAATTTACTAGAAAGCACCTTTTGGTTTTTATAATTTATGATACATTATAATTCATTTAATACTTTTTCCTTATCCTGCACAATAAAACAAAACAATTGATAAATAGTAACCTAAAAATCAGAGCAGAGCAAAGGCAAAAAAAAAATAACGTAAATTTTGTTTGAAATTACATATATATATAACATCTTTTTACTTGTTTCCTAGAGTGCATTGGAAAGAACACCGGGACATGTCTTTTAAAATATTTTTTAATGTAGTATCACAAAAAAAAATTTGTTTGAAATCGGTGACCTACTCCTTATGAGTATAAATAAAAGGAGATTCAAAACAGATGTTGGAAAAATATCGATATATTTAGAAAATATATTGATATTAATATTTGACAATCAACATCGATATTAAATATAAACATATTGTCTCACAGAAAATCCACATAAGAATTTTTGTTTTATAACAAATACGTTAATTATTTTTGGAGGTTTTAGTCATTATTAGTTAAAATTTAATTTTGATTTTTTCATTTAGGACAATTTAAATGTTTTCTCTATTCTTTTGTAATAATAAATTCAAATACCTAATATTGAAGTATTTATTATGTTTTAGTCCAGAACCTCTGTATTTTCCCTCATAAATGCCAAAAGGAAAAACATTGATCACTTTAAAATTCTCTAAACACTTGCATTTATCGAATTATGAAACCAGAACTAATAATATCCCATTTTTGAATGAAACTAGAATATATGTGTATAACTGATCAATTACTTTAAAAAATATAGGTTAATTTTATTCTTCTCATTCATCAGGTTATAAGGAATTACAGTTGAACTTTTTTCAGCACTAAACTAATTTAATCAGAACTCCAACTGATATGCAGGGAGAGCATGATGATTATCATGCCAAGGAAAGAAAATGCAATAAAAAATAATTCAACTTTAAAATGCTTAATGACATTTAATATCATTAAAATCTATAGGTGCTCGATATTCACTTCAAAAATCACTAAAAATTTACAAGAAATATGATATTAAAAACAGATAATTTTTTTTTTTTTTTACATTATACAAAAGATTAATCAGACATACTATATCTACATAGTATATACAGTATTTACATTAAAATAAATAACTCCAGTAAGCTTAAAATTAAAAACATATGATTATAGACTTTAATTTAGAAGCAAACAAAATAAAATTGAATAAATATATAAATATGATTTAAAAAAAGTTTTGTTTGAAATTTAATTGATGTCAAATAGTTCAATTTAAAATATATTTACAATTTTTCACTATGTACAAAGTTCATATATATAATACGATGATATTCACTTTGTATTTTTTTTTACTTAAAATATTCCTATTATCACAATATTATAGGTAGAAACTTAATTACACTAATCTTAACTTAATTTGTAAAATCATTACACAGTAAAAGAAACTTAAAAATTAAAAAATAAAATAAATAGCTAAAACATTAAAATAAAGGTTGAATTGTACTCTTCTCTGTTTTAAAACCTATTTTCTATAACTATGAAAATTAATTAACTATATGATGATTGATTAATGCCAAGGTGGCCCCATAATCAGTTGAAATTAAAATAATTCAAACAGAACAGCAGATTAAGATTCTGAGTTAATAGGTTCTCGGGCATGATGAGTTTTTACATGTTTATTGTGATTCGACTTGGTAGAAGAGGTTTTATTGCAAATATGACAAGAATATGGTTTTATACCTGTGTGAACTCGTGAATGGTCAACTAAGTAGTAGCTACGGTGAAAGGATTTACCACATTCATTACAGCTATATTTTTTAGCTTGTAAATGTTCTTTTTCATGCCTTTGCCAATTGTGTTTCCTATTGAACTGTCGGCCACAATGATTACAAGTGAATGGTTTGGTTCCATAATGTGTTCGAAGATGGGCTTGCAACTCTGAAAGTCTTACAAAGGCTCCTTTACACATTGAGCATTTAAAAGGCTTTGACATCCTGGATGCATGAGTCCATCTATGGAAGTGTAAATTCCATTTAGTTTGGAAGCGTTTTCCACAAACTATACACCCATATTGTCTAGGAGAACTATGTTGCAGCATATGCAATTTTAAAGATTTTTCCATGAATACCATATTGCAAATCGGACAAGATACATTCTTTTTTTTAATATTTGATTCAGATGGTGGAATAAAGTGACTATCATGAGCTCTACGAATGTGTCTAGTCAAGCTAGCAAGATGCACATACCTTTCACTACAATACATACATTGCTTTGGTTTAGATTCATGTATTTCTTTATGCCATTCCAACTTCTTTTTTGTGTTAAAAGTTTCTCCACATTCACAAAAATAATCTTTGGATTTTTTTTTAATATGTAAATGAGCATTGTTTTTATGCTGTTTTAGATTTGAATAGCGCTTAAACTTTTTGTCACACAAGTTACACTGAAGAGGTGCAAAACCAGTATGACCATTCATATGTTCTTTTAGTTTCTGATTGGTAACAAAAGTTTTAGAGCAGAGAGTGCAGGCATATGGCTTTACAGGCATATGAATTTTTGCATGAATGTAAAGACTATTTTTGGTATGAAATGTTTTACCACAAGTCCTACATTCCAAAGGGTGGACTTTTAATAAATGCTCTGCATAAAGCTCTTGGGTAACAAATTCCTGATTACAGACTGTACACTGTCTAGAAACTCTTTTATGTTCTGTTCGCATATGGGCTTTAAGTTCTTTTTGTGATTGAAGTTGGAGACCACATTTCAGACATATAACTTCTTTTTGAAATGCCTTGCTTTCTGAATTTTCAGCTGAACAATGCAAAGTAACAATATGGACCCTCCTTTCCTTGGGGCAGGTGAACTCCTCATGGCAATGAAGACATGGAAACTTCTTTTTCGTGTCTTCCTGCTTATCGACCCATATTGGATCTGAAATGACTGTAGCCTGTAACAATGATTCTGTATTAGTACATCATGTATTATACCTGAAAATAACACAATCAATGATAAGGAAACTGGAAAGTAATTCCTTAGAGTATACATTAAGCTTTTTTAGAAAATTTAAAAATACTGTATGGCTTCCATCATCAATAGTATAATAATTAACAACTAAGGGTTATTTTTTTTGTCTCTGTTAATTGCTATATCAATCAAGATTATATTTTAGAACATTTACAATAAGGAATCCATGTGAAATTAACTTTATATCAAAATTTTAATGGAAAAACATTCCACAATTTAGAGTAATAGATATGTTTCTTTAAAATATTGATTTTTAGAAACGTAATTAAAGGTGAATACCTCTGGAAGCCAGACTGAATTGACAGTAGTTCCAAGACTTTCTTGTCCAGAGAGTTCTCCCCTAGGGGGCATTTTTTCATCAGCAGCAATATTAAGTCCAGAGCTACTCAATTCTGGATCGTTTTCTTCATCCAAATGTGTTTTTCCAACTTCTTCATCTTCATAATCTAAAATATTTACCCAAATACATGAGTATTAATAGAAAGAAACATACTTTTTACAACAATAAGACTATAGTTCAATCAATAAAACTAAAAATATAATATATTTGTCTATATACTAAGTTCAGATTAATGTATTAAAAAATATATATCAACTTTATATTTTATCTATTCTGTTGGCTTAGTATATAAACCTCTGCCAATCTTGGGTTACTGCTTTCCAGTTAGCTACATTTTATTTGATTATATCTATAATTATGATTTTTACTTTCATTTACCTATATATGTAATATATAATAAGGGTAAGTATTGTATTTCTGAAAATTGAGTTTTCAGCAGAATACATGTTTTGAGGTCTTCTGAGAAAATAGGGTGTATTTGTATGTATGTATGTGTACAGCCTAGCTCAACAACGAAAAGTCATACAAAACTGAAATTGCGTGTTTAAGATTTATACATGCCTGGGATATTACAGCAACATTTTAGCCAAAATCGACAAACGGGAAGTGGTACTTCAGATCATCAATTTAACACATTATTAAGATTTTCTCAAAAATGGCCTCTAGACGATCTGGACTCTTTATCTAGGTCAGTGTATTATTAAATGGATTTTAATTTAAGATAGGTTTTATCCTCATTGATACAACTTGACAGAGCTTAAATGCTGATTTTTTCAAAATGGCTTTCTCTAAAGTACCTTCAATTTTTTTTATTTGAAATAATAAACCAGATACCCGTTACCCCTCTGTACAGGGATTTCATATTCTTAGTTTAACTTTTATGTATCACTTATCCATAATTTTTTAAAAAGGTTTTCACGCGAAACGTAGAGTATTTACTAATATAAATATAATAATATGCAATATTTACTAATGTTAACTTTATTTTGTCGACGAGTTTTGTAAATGTTTCCAATAAAACTCAGAATTTTTCCCAAAGGCCCATTTTCCCCACAATCATTAGAATTGTTTGATACTATACACAGTCATAAAAGGAAATTAAAAGTGATGCAAATGTATAAATTTAACTGATTCGATGGGCGGGAAAAACATGGTAATTAATTGTTTTAAATGAAGTTATACCACCAATTGTTATAATGAAGTTTTCACTTCGACTTCTTATAAGAAAAAATATATCTACTCTAAGGTGGGTATGTGTAAGTTGCGTGATGTGCAAACAGTACCCAATTTTTGTTATTCTATTCTTCTTCCAAACAAATATGGCATTCCCATTTAGAGAGATCTTGATGAATTGTTTTTAGCTACATATGCTATCAATCTTAATCTCCTTGCCTTCCTATCATAAGATGAAGATAGACCAGTTTCTGAAAGCATTTCTTTATGGATCCTTTTATGTCAGTACTCTGATTCCAAATTGTTGCACTGGTTATCGTGCAGAGGACTTTCCTTTCAAATCTTATTTTTTGAGTGCTCATTAGAGTGAAGGTATTGTAGCTGTATATCAGCACTATACATTTATCATAGAATGGCTCATCCTCAATTTGAGATTTCAATAGTTTTGAAAGAAAGAGGAAAATTCTATTTGAGTTTATTTTGAATCAGTCTACCTCAGATAGTTGGTCACTTATTGAAGAGTCAAAGGTGTTTAAATCTGTTTACATAGCAGATTCTGTTGTTGGGTGATATTTGTTCATTCATAAATACTTTAAAAATTACCCTGTTCTAGAAGAGTATGGTAGATCAGCAGTCTACCTTTCGACAGACAAAACTGAATAAATAACAAACTAAAACAGCAAATATAAAATTTTAATGCTGAACATGATAGTAGATAGAAGACATACAATTGGATTTCTTAGGCATTGCGAGGAGTCAAAACCTAACCCAGTTAGTAAAAACACTCCTTCATACCAACATATCATTTTACTCAAAATGTATCGAAAGCCTTTTTTTATTAGAGTATACTTGACATACTGATTGACAAATACAACATGAACAGGAATTTTGAATTTGTTCACTACACTCCATTACAATATTACTTTAATTACATAGAGTAGAGGTCTCCAAATTACGGCCCGCGTTTTCTTTTATTACATGGTAAAAACTATTTTAAAAAAATAAGCAAATTACTCACATACAAGGTTACTATTACATTCATTGCATGTGTTATTCTCTTAGAAAGCTCATTTCGCAGGTGAAGTGTCATTAATAGGAAAACATTTTTTTTTAAATCACTAGCCATGGCACGTGGGACATCTTAATGCGGCCCGAAGGTCAAAAAGTTTGGTGACCCCTGACATTGAGTCACGGATTACATTTCAGTTTAACTAGAGGAACCATAACATTGCAGGTATATTTATGCTGAATGTAGCTAAGCATTTGACGGATTCTGGAATAATGGACTAACTTTGAAACCCAGATCTTTTCTTCCTATGACTTACTACCTCAAACTTTTATCAGACAGGAATTATTCCTTAGAAAATTAGAAGCCTCTTCTATATACCGAATTGAAGACAGAGTCCATTATGGCACCTCTACAATTCATTATTTACACAGATGGTATATCAGTTTGTTGTAACACAATAACAGCAACCAAGGCAGATGACATAACTTTCAAAACTTTTTCGGACCTACAAATAACAAATCTTTTGGAAATACAAACTTACCGATAAAAAACAATGAAACTAATAACAAGTTCACACAGATGTGTCAGCACCAAAATCTTACAAACAGATTAATGGATACGTGCAGTTTAAGAATATATTCATTATTCACAAAATATTTAATGACAAACTCCATAGAAATTGCAATGAACTTATACGTAATATGATGAAAACATGCCTGAGCACACTAGAATAAGGCTGTAAGAGAGCTTGTGTAAAATCCAAAAATAAAATATTAAGAGATGCTGATGGGTGTTATCTCTATTATTTTAAATATTATATTTATATCACATTGTTATGATTGACAGGTGTAGGTATAAAAAATAAAGATAAAAAAACATTGGTAGGTACATATAGGCAATACTCTTCAATTGTTTGCAAATGCTACAATAATTTTTTATTGGTAATACTCTCAGTAACTATAAATCAACTTTTTGTTTTCTGATTTATCTGAAAACATATACTCATGGATTTTCAGTATGTTGAAAACAAAAATATACTTTAAAAAAAAATGTTAACGTTCTTTATTTGAAGTGACTACATATTTGTCAGTAACCCAAGTTCATTAAATCTCTTGAGAATAATTTTTCTCAATTAATGAGGACTTACAAAGACAAACCCAGGACTACTGAAAAACTGTTACAAATGCCTTCTCAAACAGCACTATGAAAATAAGGAAATATTTTTTAATAAAAATCTAGGGACAGCAGTTCAATACAATATATATATATATATATATATATATATATATACTGACTAAAAGAAAGAAATACGTTTGAATGGAGTATAGTTTTATTTATATTTTTTTAAAGATAGGTAACAAACTAATGACATTAAATGACAAATCTTTAAATGGCATTATGGTAATTTATATTTCATGGTTAAGAACTTTATTTGAACTGAATATAAATAGTGATAGCAGTAGAGGTAGACTTTTGGAGAAGGGCAAAAATCAAAAATGAAAGAATTATGAAAATGATGGAGGTGGAAACAAACATTGAAAAGAAAAGGCAAGTTTCCTTATTATTAATCCTTTTAGGGACCATGAAGATGATGTAATTACAATTAGGTTAAGATAGTTTTAGTAGTTTATGTGATCAACAGTTACAAACAAAAAATAGGCTGCACTTTAATCTAATAGTATGATATGAATAATAATTTATTTGGTAGTGATATTTCTGCTTCTACTTCATTTCGTCTATCTTTTAGTTTTCTCAAGGTTACATTTGGGCACAGACAAATATTCTGTCGTTTTGGTGACATTTTAAATAATATCTACATGCAATTTGAACAACAATGTAACATTATTAAATACACTTTCAAGACTCAATACAAGGTCAGAAATATTTTTAACTTCCTTTGTACAAGTCAGGTTAATAATATCATAAAATCCTTACAAAATAATGCATTTAAATTAGTGGAGTAATTTTCACAGCAAATGGTTACAAATGAAAAATGAGCAGGTTCTTCCATAAAATAATGATTTGTAAAATATAATAAAAAGACTATTACAACTGTAACAAGCAATAAAAAAAAAATTCTGTAGCTACCGACAGTAATTTCATATAAATTTACTGTATAGTTATTCATAAAGTTAGAAGTTACTAATAGGCGGCCATTAACACATCACTTTACTCCAATCAATGCACATCATATGGAATATGCAACGATTAAGAGTGTGAAATTCTGTCGATACTTTAAAGCGATGCATAGTGGCTGAAATTTCATTGTTCCTAAACTACATCCCACCATGCCCAAATCCAATCCATTATGAATGTGGATTCTTAATAGAGGGGAATGATGGACTGCATAGTTTTTAGATTATATTTTTTATCAACACTAATAATTTAGTTCAGTAAATATAGCATCCTTAAAATTTATGATATTGGTTGTATAAAAGAAGTCACACAAAATATTTATATAACTTGCAAATCTGTTCCTTTTTAAAGATTATAGTTATGTATATTAAAAATTTAAATATTAATTACAATAAAACAACATTTTTTAGTTATTTTAAAAACTATAATATGCTGAAAATTTCTACTATTTTTATGTTATAATTTGAAAATTTAATTAATTAATAAGATATTAATATTTTAGTGGATTTTTTCTTTGATTAATTAAAAATAATAATTAAAAGAATTTTTTTTAATAAGTTAAAAATTAAAACATGTTGAAAGTTTCCTTTATTTTTAATCTTTTAATTTGAAAATTTAATGAATTAAATAAAAGGATATTACAAAGATTTAAAATAGTGAGAAAAATCTTTTTTATTTCAAGCCGATGGGTAAAAGGAGTGGTGGAGTGAATAAAGATTAAATTATTTAATGTTCTAGCTACTGTGTACTGCTTATACCCTATTAATTTTGAAGAGATAAATATATATTAAACTCCACATTAATGCATGTATTTATAGATAGTAAATATCATGAAATACGTATTTATCAACTTTCCATTTTATGGAAATGAGTTTTGACCAGAATTACCAATTAGGTGTTGTGAGTAGCCAAACTCCTAATTACACTCTTTTAACTGTTTAAATGATTTGTATAATATTCAGACATAGCCTTTCTTATCAATAACTGACATTGAAGTATTTACGAGCTCACGAATAGTTCTAAAAATCTCTTACAATTGCAGCATCAATCAGTTAACTAAAGAGAAAAAATTAAGATGCAATATAGTGATTGCCAATGGGCCACTTGAAATAATTTTGACTCTAAACAATTCAGTTACTCCACACTATTGTCCCATTTGGTTTGATCATCAGTTACCATCTTAGAAACTAGGAAAGAGATGTAACATATTATTTTTCATTGTAAAATTGAAATACAACTCTGGTACATTACCTCGATCATCAGCAACAATTACATTGTCACAATGTCCATCTTCATCCTAGAAAAGAAAACAGAATTTAAATGTAATGTTAATAAAAAAACAAGGTTAAATATAATTATAGTTGATTCAATACTGTGATGTGTGTTGCTTCAGAATGGTGGCTCATAGGTGATGCAGGATGACTTGTACTTGGCATACAACTTAACATCATTTCATCGTTTTCTTTTATTTGACATTGCTCAGGAATAATTTTTTCTGGATTTTCATCCTCGATCTGTTCTCTATTATAGTCTTCTTGATTCGAATAATTTACTAATGTGGTTATAACTCCTGATTCTTGTCCAGAAATATTCAGTTGCATAGATTCGGACTGAGTAAATTCACTTGATCCCAATATTTGCTGGTTAGGATAAACGGGATATCCCATAAAAGGGGCATGAATTATATTAGTGGTAACCTGTTGTCTACCCAAAAATATGTGTTCTTCTGATACAACCTGATAAGGGTTAACGATAGCTGGAGGACTGTAAGCATTAAAAGGTCTTCCAGAAGTATATAATCTAACTAAAGCTTCGATAACTTGATCTTTAGGATGAGTATTTAAATGATTTTGCATGGACATTCCTTCCCGAAGAAAGAGTGTGCAAACAGGACAGGCTAGCATCTGCTGTTCCATTTTGACCTAAATAAAAAACAATAATCAGATAAGTAATATAAATATTTAAACAAGTTTTCAATAATTCAGAAACTTTAAACAACCTATTAATTAGTAATACTGATATAAAGACTAATTAAACCTAACTGGATATAGAATACACTTAATCTGGCAGTTAGAAATGAAATAAAATAATTAGGATATTCGAAGAATGACAAAATGATAAGTAAAATATCAATATATGGATGTACTTACCAGTATCAGATATGCTTTACACTTAACTGTTATGGGGCCACCTATTCACAATTTAATACGAAACAAATATTACAACTACCACTGACGAAAATCACCGATTTCCTACTGAAATTCGTGAGCTTTCATTAATAAAAATTAAGCTATGCTGAGCTACAGAAAATTCAATAACGTAGACAGAAGTCCTACAGGAAATTCTAGGAACTAAACCTCCTTTGTGGACAAACATTTTGTTGTTTTTATGGAAATTTGTTTTCTAAATAACTTTAAATTACTTGAAAAAAAACTGGATAACATTGACATAATCACTAATCAATTGCTTGAGGAATTATTGATAGGTTAAACGATATCTAAATACAATTCAAAACAAATAAACTCCTATCCATGCATGACAATGGCGACTGATAGGTATGCTGTGGTCTGTCGAAAGTATCCCACTGCAGCACTGCTGTTTCACTGGCCCGAAGGCCATACATAACCAGGGGAGGTTTCAAGTTTGAACAGAAAATGAATATCGTTCGATTTATTCCCCTAAGGACTTTATATTTAAAAAATGTACCCCGTTTGTCGTCCTTTGTAATAGGACGGTGTAGTGATTATGTTTTAGATAATTGTTCAAGTTTAGATGTTAGATCCTTCTGTAGTAGAAAACTATTATCTTTCCACAAACCACCGATTACAATTATTAAACAATTTAAGTTTAAAAAGACAACTAAGGTATTATATTGCAGGTTTTAGATTGGTTAAATAAAGAAAAACGGAGGCATATATGTGTAACTTTTTGACTGTAGCAGGAAGAGATTAATGAAGAATTCAATGATGATGATGATGATGATGAATTTGAAGATTATGGTGATTCTAAACTAATTGTAGGGCATGTATTATCATTGAGAACAGATGCTGTTTTAAAGACTGGATTGGGATTGGCTAGAAAGTAATTTTATTATTTTAATTTGCCTCAATTTTTTTATACTCACTTTCCATTATCTACTTGATTTGGTTCTTTCATTGATCAATCATGTTACAGGCTATGCTATACCTATTTATTTACTAAGGTCAAATAGTTGTACAACTGGGGATAACATCCTGATGTCTTTTATCTAAAATTAGTTTGGTTTTTTATCTCACAAGACTTAAGTTATATGAAATTATTCTGTTGTGGACCCGTAATATTCTCATGGTGATTAAAATAGGTTGTTATTTTTAGGGTCATTGTTATTGTTGGAGAAAATTTTATAAAGGAATAACGCATACCGATTCGAGATATATAATTGGCCTAAATTAAAATATTAGTACTTAGTTGACGCAAAATTTGATGCTCTACAACTTTGATTCTACAGGTTTTTTCTAGCAGAAATCTCGTTTCCAATTTACAGTGCCATTTATAGTCATTTTTCGCAATGGATTTCTCATTTCGATCCTCAAATTATTGGCCTAATATTCTTTAAATCAGCCGCCATTTTCGCAAGCAGCGGTTCTGGAACGGCAGACATTGTTCTTTTTACTCAGAATAACATACACTTTCGTAATTTACAATCAAACCTTTGCCTGTGGCCAGGTCAATTTTTGGGCCCTTGCTTCAGGGCTATTCTTAGCTACTTATACAAATGACCCTTTAGAATCAATTAATTCATCTAAGATAAATTCTAATTCTAATCCAAGACCAATTAATGTTTATTTCTAATTTAATGTAACTTTTTTTTTAAAAACTTAAATAATTAAATGTTGAACTTAGCAGAAACATAGAAACTTTATTATAAAAGCATAATGCTGTGTCAATTAGCAGTTGGACACAGTTTTGCAGCCTTGCAAGTTGGTTGTAGTTCTCTTTTGAGAAAAAATTATGTTAAATAATTATTTTTAGTGGTTTTATTAAGTTATATTACATTCTTTCACAATAAAATAAATTAGTAATAAGGATAAAAGAGTTCATTCACACTATATTTACAGAAAATAAAAATAGATAGAATTATAGCAAAGCAATAACATTAAAAAATAAATATTACATAAAAAAAAAAAAAATTAGGTAAAAATCCATGTCGCTGGTACTAACAGCCAATGAAGGATGAGCAGGCCACTATAACCATAGATGTACATGGGTAGAGCGGATAACTGGGCATTGCTGGAACTCTAAAATTGACATATTTACAAAAAGCGACTGCCATATTGACCTATGCGGAGGATTGTAAGGATAAGTGATGCTACGTTGCGTCAAAAGATTTGAATGATGACTAAGATTTCAGGGAAATTTGCAGAATTTATCTAGGATAAGATCTAGAGCAAATAAAATTAAAGAAATAGAATCATAATTTACAAAAAACTAATGATAGCTTTAGTCTTTTTTGTAGATATTATAAATACTATTTTACCATAGTATCGGTGGTCCTAATTAACAGTAAGCTATCACATTTGTAGGTTAAATTAAACAAAAAATAATGTTTATAGACTCGTGATTACTAATTGATTGTGGTGAATACCATTTACAACACACTTTGTACAAAATCTAGTATACTTACTATGGTGACTGGATATTGTGATGGAATAAGATCAGTTTTTTAGTTCATAGAGTTGTGTTAGCCTAAGAAGTAATGATTAGTGTACTGGCGTCCAGCAGCTGACCCAGGGGGAGGATGAACTGACAGTCAGATGGCTGCTCTAATCCTTTAGGAACCCTCTTAACAGTGACTTATAAATAAACCTATTTAATTGCCAAAGAGTCACTGTTAAGCCAATTGAGGAGTTCTATATTAAAATGAATTTTGTCCATTTTAATTTTCTTTCACAAAATTAATTTTGCAGTGAACAATAACTTCAAAACTTTTAACTTAGTGAAAAGAAAAATGAACAAAAAAAGCAGAAAATATTCATACTATGATTAGATATCAATCAAGAATTTTTGACAACTATTACATATGGCAGGATAGATTATTGCCAACTAATTAAATATCTATTCAATTCAGAAATAACAGAATCCTGAATTAGTATCTTATATAGGATAAAAATTAAATTGTATAGTATGTTATAGTGGATTGATGCCCTTACAAGTTAGTTGCAAATGGCATTTTGGATCCTAGACTCTTTGACCCTATCAATCCATTTAGTATTTGGAATTTCAAAGATATAATTGAATTGCCTTTAATACAACTGGTGGGTACTAGTAAGGATAGCTACCTGTACTATGTAGCTGTTATGTATGGGTAGAAGGAATTAGTGGGGTAGTTCATTTCAACCTCCTCCAATGGATTGATTAGGAGAGCGAAGAATTAAAGAATAAGTGGTGGAAGTAACATGATGCTTCTACAAAAAAAATACATATTGGTGAGAGGGAAGGTAGGATTGAAATAAATAATTATAGTCCTTGGTACAGACCCATTTTTATCAAATTATTAACATCCACTTGAAACTTCGTAAATTGTTTCATCTCATTGTCACCTACAACTATTTTATTTATGAAAACTCTTGGAATTGGGGCGTTTTAAATCTGGAGGGGGGCAAACTTTGTCTACTTAATTAAGTATTAAAAACTCATATATACCCATTTACTTTCTACTTGGATTGTAAGATAATTTGATCACATCGAGAAAAAAGGTGGCCTTAAAATATATTGAACTGTTCTGCGTGACCTACACTCCTAAATTTTCAAAATAATGAGGTTATATAGGACAAACGGAAGTAACCTATTGTTTAAAATTGGCTGTGATCAAAAGGCTAAAAAAAATAGCTAGCAAGAATTCTTGACGATTAATACTTTAAGGGACTCATACTCTTGCTGGTTGTGCTATAATAATAATAATAATGACTTACAAATTCATAATTTTTTTTTTTTTTTTTTTAACAGCAAAATTGATACGTATTTCTATGACAGCAAAATTCGAGTAAATGGAAAGAAAATTCAAAAGAAAAGTCATAAGGTAAGTGATTAAAATTGCTGTTCAGTCATACACTTATACTTAATATTCTCATATTATTATTAAATTCACAATAAATGTAATATGATGGTTATTGACCTAGTCCATAAGGAGAAGCTAAAAGTATTCATGATCCACTTCAATTATTAGTTTCTTTTGGAATAAACCAGAATTAATATTTTAGAACATGTAAAAAAGCAACTTTTTGTTCCATAGAAGGAACCTCAAAATATAAATGAAAAATATGTAAGATATGCCTGCTGTAAAGAAATTGACAGAAAAACAAATGACACATTACCTGCTGGACATCATTCTGTCATGACCATAACTTACATAAAATTAACCAATTTCCATCATCACCGGAAAATGACCATGAATATTTTCATTACATTTTTTTTTTTCTCTTTATAGTTCATACTCTCTAGTTTTGGGTACCTTTTGAGTTCCTAGGTTTTTCATCCAAAAAATTTATCTAGATTTTTATAAGATTTTACGTTTTGAATATGTTTTTCAGATTTTTTTTTATCAAATTAATGTTTTTATTTTTCCAATCCTATTGTTCTAAATTATAATTAAATTCATAATTTAAAATATAATTAATATTTTGTTTTATGAATTTTTGAAGGGTGTGATATAAATAATGGAACACCACTATGACTATAGTGTTGGAAAGTTACTATTTCATTTTAAATATTTTTAAGGTTAAATTTTTTTTTATCTCAGATTTTTTAGTGGAATTGGGGTCAATTGGACAATTGAAGTCAAATATATTTAAAAGTAAATTTGTAGCATTTTGAATTTTGAAAATGCCTTAAATAGGGTGTCTATAAAAGTTGTTAGTCAAATTCTCTTAGTTTGCTGCAGTAAATTCCCTAAATTCTCTCCTTCCTCAAATATATTGGTGCAATTTTAATAAAAAATTTTTGTTAAAATGTATTGATAAAAATTATCTTAATTTTAAGATCGCCAGCTCAAACAGATTTATTTTAATTTTTTCTTTTTCTTTGACTATAAGTTCCATTATTATAAATTTATATATTATCGTCTTGGTGAGAAAGTTCATTCCCAACGTTTAATTTCTCCTATTAAGGAAAATTATGAGTGGATCAAAATGAGGAAGTTTATAGATTTATAATTTGAATACTGATAAATGATGTCTGTACAGAATATTTTTATAAAAATAACAATAAATAGCATCACATGTTAATTTATAATCTCGTGTCTTCAAAAACTAATCACGCTTACTACATTGATGGTAATACACCTCTGATAATCCAATGACCAATTTCTGAAGATGGATTATAAAAAAAAATGTTTATGAATACTAGTCAAGTCGTTCAATATGCTTCCATATCATTTCTGTTGAGTAAATATGAAAAAGTATAAACTTTTTTTTCGATTACTCCCTACTTCACCATTTCATATAGGAGTGTAGTTCAAGGTACAACCAAACCCATAAACTATGAGACAAACAGATATGTAAATGGTTATTTCACTATGCTAGCATTTTATTTCTTGTTTTTGATATTTTCCATCTGCTGTCGGTATAAATAGAAATAGTTTGGTTTGGCAATAGTGTCGCTGTTAGTTAAGTTAATCATTGTGTTTCTCATTTATCGTGGCGTTACAACTCGGTGACGAGTCTCTTGGCCTCCTGCACCAGTTTACTCCAGTTTGTGAAATTTCTACGCTTTAATAGACTTGGCCATCACGATCTGGCAATTACAAACTTACTATATGATGGTTTATTTAGACTTGTTTAATATCTTTATTGTCATTTATCATTTAAAATAAATATCTGGGCTACACTTCTGTCCCATATTTGTCTACGTATGATGGAAACTACTAAAATAAAAACATATAGGGTGTACCCATACACTTGAGAGATTGTAATTTTATTTATGCACTAAAAAGTATATTTGTCAATATATTTTTTTTTTTACCAGAAGAAGCAAACTTAAGTTTGTCTTAAGTTTAAGTCTTTATGGTTATATATATCAAAATAAATATCATAATCAGATTTAATATTAACTGGTGTCACTTATTTAATTAAGATCAGTACTGCCATAAAGCTTGTAGTTATGTCTATATTTTTAAAAGAGTTTATCTTATTGAATAGAATATCCAATAAGTTTAAATTCTATTACTTGTAAATATAATGATACGTGTATCCAGATTATTCATTATTTTAAGGATGATAGCAAGATATTAATTACTACATGAAGTATAATTAGTAGATAAAGATAACTCTCATAATTCATTAATAATAAAAAAAATAGTCAAGTATTACTAAAATTAAACAACATTGTGTTGTAAATACTTGAATGGTATAATGCTGCCTACCAGAATCAAAAAGAAGTAATAAATAGATATATGTTATATGTTGATTATTTCAGAAGAAAGTTGAAAAGAAACTGTTATATATTTAATTAAATAATAAAATGATTCTTTGTACACAAATAAGTAGAAACAGAATTAATACAATTTTTATTAAAAAAATTATTTGTTAAATAATCATTTCAATAATGCTCCACATTGATTAATATTACATTTTGACATCATGAAAATAAAAATTAAAATGATGAAGTTATTTTATAAATTCTAGGTTAAGGTTGGTGATGAAATTGACATCATAAAAGGAAAAAATCCTATCAATGAATCCCTTTTGAATATATCCAGGGTTGTACTTGTTTCAGTGAAGGAAAATGAAGAAGGTGATAAATTAAAAGTCAAACTAAAAAGGTACAAAAGTTTGAATGTAGAAGATTATTCAGAACCATGGAACACGAAGGAAGAATAAAAAAAAAAGAAGAAAAAATTAAAGGTAATAAAACCATTTAATATAAATTTATTATTATTTTAATTTACATGGTAACAAAACCTAAAAGCATTCAATTAGCTTTAGTAGACTATAATTCAGAAAATTTAATGATTGACATTTTTATGTTATAGATTAATGAAAAGAATAGAACTGTAATCTTCTTACCCTTCTTGAGGCAGAATATATAACAAAATAAAATATAATTATTTTCAACAACAAATTTTAATAAAATATTAAAAAGGTTTCATTATAACAATAATGGAATATTCACATTACTTTTAAATATAAAAATAGCATCATATACAGTTCTTTTTATACATATATATATATATATTTTAAAATAAATTAAGCAATGAAATATATGTTGTGCTTTTGGAAAAATATATAATCCTGATTTACAAAATTCTTTTTAAAATGTTAAAGCATTATATAAAAACATTTAAATAAGCTTTCAAGAAAAAAAATTCTTAAAATTATAGGTACCGATTTCACACTAATTAAAATGATTAAAACTTAGGTTCCTATGTTCCTGGATCCTTTAAGCTACAAACATATATTTTACAGTCCCAGTGGAAATCAACTTGGTGTTGCCTAAAATTGAAATTGACTTGCCACTTGGTGTATTCAGACACCATTTAATTTTTCTATCATCAATAATAATTATATATTCAAATAAAAATTATTCAAGCATTTATTGAATAAATTATTGGTTTATAATAGCTATTTTCTGCTAAAACTTATCACAATTATTATTCACCCTCCCTATTATTTGGTGAAGTTTAGTAGCTATAATATAAATCTAATTTTTATGTTCATGCCTTAAAGTAAATATAAGTATTATTCTAAAACCGTCAATAAACAGGAACATATATTTAAAATAGTACTCTTTCGTGTGTACTTAATGGTAACTAAAAAATTTGTTTTATAACTAAACTAACTGAAACAATGTCTTCCTTTGTGACCTATCACTCAAAGTAAAATATTCAGATAATTGGAATTGACTAAAGCTGATATTTTTTCTTTGCCTTAGGAAAATCTTGCTCAAGAGTGTAGTGGACCAAGATATTACAAGAAGATCGATTAAGCCATCGCTGAAGCAGGAAGAGAACTATGTTTAGGTTTAGTTTTATTTATAAATACTTTTATACAGCCATTGAAGTCCGCACTGACTAATACATAGCCACTGGTTGTATTTGTCCCTGAACCATTACTCTCCAGTTCTTCAATATGGCGCATTACTATGTCAGGATTAGGAGAAAATACTGCACAAGTGACAACAGCATTATGAACTTTAATTCCTTCCCAATAGTCATTTCTATCTCGCCTCACGGAAGAAAATTTTGAATAGTCATGATTACTTTTCCAAATATATATACATTGGTTTTCTGAACCACTTACTATAAATTTTCCATCATGAGAAAATGAAGCCTTTATCTGGCTTGAAAAGTTTGCATAACCCTTATATTTGCAAGAAAGATTAAGATCACGCAGATCATATAGACGTATGCGACTATCATTGGAAGTAACTAGAATCTTATCTTCTCCAGGCATAGGCTCTATACCACTTATTTTTCTTCCAGTCGAGTTTTTACCTCTGGTTGATCTAACATGAATTTGTGTGTGGTACTTAAGTTGATCAGTTGTATAAAATATACATCTGCCATCATAAGAACCAACAACTGCAAATTTTCCATTCTGAAAAGTAAAATAAAACGTTAATATGTACATTGAGATTTTAAATATAAGAATAAAGTAAATGTTGCTTTTTATTTATTAATTTCTTATCCCATCAGTACCCAATATTCATTCTTAGGAAAATGAGAATAATATTAACAAAGTAATTAAATAATAATATTCTATAATTCTTAATCCAGCTAAAATTTATTTTAAGCTAAAAAGCAATGGTTTTACAGCTTTTACACATCTATGTTTCTAGTCTTAAGACTGGATAATAAAGTGGATCCCGAAACATTATAAAAACAAAGAAAAATCTATTGGGAGAGTAAACTGTTACTTAATTTTATTAATATACCTTATATAAATAAAAATCTCCCTTAGAACTTATGGACAATTAAATAATTACAATTAAAAAAAAAATAGAATATTATTTCAAAATTAACAATAAAAACATAACTGATAAATACAACTACTCACTGACTTCTATAAATATTCTAGCAACGCTAAGCTACTATAATTATTTAATTATTATAAAATATACAAAAATAACATCATAAAATATGTTCAGCAAGATATGAGTTATTTTAGTTCACGATCTCGTGAAATAATAATTGAAAATTAATTAAATTTAGCAAGGCTGTACTAAACTATCATTGTTGTGTATATTTATAATAGGGTACAATTATTAGTATGCATGTCATTGTTATTACATTATTATTACTATTATAAATAAGTGCTATACAGTAAATTTGAAAAAACTAATTATTAAATTGACTAAATTTATAATCAGCACTAACGTCGATAAAGAGTTAATTATCAATAGCATATATATATATATATATTTTTTTTTTTATTACCTGGCAAAAGTTGGCAGCAGTTATAAGCTTTGCAGGACCATCTATCTCATTCCATACTGCCACTTTTTTGTCAGGAATGTTCCATAGCCTCAACTTTCCATCAAGAGATCCACTGAGGAAATAACGATCATCGCGAGGATGGAACACAATAGCTGTTACGAAATCAATGTGTTGAAAGCAGCAGAGGCATTCTCTGCGTGATATATGCCATAATCTAACCTATAAAAAAAAAAATAAAAAAATCACTCGGATCAGGCCTGGCCACCAAATGGGACTTAACGCATTAGAAGTCGCGCACACATTATGTAACATATGTCATTTAAGGATGGTTTATCTCCATGTCAAAAGATACTACTAGAATTAAATAATCAAAGAGAAAACAAATTTAAGGATTCCGAATAAAACTTTTTCGGAGCCTATACATTTCTTATTTTATTGTATTGACCTGATTTGTAATGAAAAGCAAAATTTCAAGGGACAGATAGAATTAACTGAAAAGTTACCGTTTTATCCATTGAAGATGACAGTATAAAATAATTTTTTGACCAAGCTACATCAAGCAGATCCGAGGCATGCCCAGAATAAGTACAAAATGGTTTAGGCATAAAAGGTGCTTTCTCGCTCAGATCTTCCATTATATGAGATGAATGAGGGTCCTCCGAAGAGATCACAGAAACAATAGATTCTTGTGAAGGTGTTGGTGAAACTTTTTCTGCATTGTACTTTGTACGCATTTCCTAAAAAAAAAAAAAAAATTAAAAAAAGTGAAAGAACTATGGTGTGTGTTTAAGTAAGATCACACAATAGAAGTGACAACATCAAGGCGGATTAATAATATGAAATAAAAATTTTTTTCTAAATCACAAAGTAATTACATTTACAATAAATACAATTATAATTGTGTATAAACTATTTTTTGTTCCACATTCACAAAATAATAACATATACAATTATAATTATGTATAAATTACTCCAATAAACTTTGCTCTGACTGATCATTATTTGTATCATACTCTAAAAATAAAACAATAGGTTTATCATAACTAAAATATTCATGAGTAGTTTTGATTGAAATCTGTTGGCTAAATATTTAACAAAAACTCTATCAATCCTTGTTTCATATTTTGTTGTTTTTTCGTTTGGATAATTCGACATATCCAAATCAAAACAGTTGCCATTATTTAGTCTTTTGCCGCTATCTTTTTCCCTTTACAACTCTCTATCTCTAACTCGGCGTTACACGATAACATAATTTGAGTTACAAAGAAGATGAAATGCTGAAAATGTCTCTGGCTTACATTATGTAGGTACGAATTTTATCTTTTGAGATATTTTAATCCAAATGTTCAAAAGATTCATTATCATTTGGTTTTTGACACTATCTTTTTTCCTATTTGCCTCTCTAACATGTCATCGCGCCAAGACAAAATTTTTAATAATAGCTCATTAGAAAGAGGATGAAATGCTGAACATTTCTCCTTGTTAACAATATCCAGATCCAATTTTTAGTTTCTGAAATATATGCAAAAATTAGTCGGTTCGAGCTGACTTTACCCGAATGAGCTTTACATTACTACATAGTTGAGCGTGACAGCTCCACAAAAAAAGTGCTAAGGGGGCCTAAAGAAGTTTTCATTTAAAAAATTATCAATTATTGTATTTTAAAAAGGTTTCTACATACCTGAAAATATGGATACGCGTTTCGCACAACCCAAATCCTTAATACACGGTCCTGGCCAGCAGTAGCAAGAAGACGTCCACAAGAAGAAAATTTCATACACCAGACTGGGCCAGTATGTTCCCCACTGAAGTCCTGTAAAATATAGAAAGATGGAACAAATAAAATTTAGATTACGAGTAGAACTTTTAAGATTCTATTCAATGCTTTCAATTTAACAGTTCTAACGAAAATGTTTAACATTAAAGCCAAACAAATAACAGACCAATTGATGAATAAATAATTAAATATTCAGATAAAAAAAATCTAATTAAAATAATGGATTGAGGGAAATAAGATGGTCATCATTTGTGTGTTGTTTAATGACTTCTATTCCCTCAACTACTGCAATAATTCTATATCTTGGCTGTAATTTTTTGGAAAAATAATTCAATAATAATTAAATAATTAAAAAAAAAATAATTGAGTTAAATTTTGTTGAAAGCTTTCTTGACATAAATGCATAATTTGGAATTTTGGTGAATTTAAGACATCAATGAATGATTCAGTTGATTTAGTCACTTCATCTGTATCATAGGATATAATAAAATACAATATGAATGCATCAAAATGAAGCAGTAAGGAAAAAGAGACAGGCCTGAAAGAGTAGTGCTACTTTAGACCTTCGTATAAGGTCATTCTGCCCATTCTGCTTAGATCTATGCTATGTAATACAAGATGACCTTTAACAGGGGCGGGATGGCCGAGCAAGTAAATGGCAGAGTAAAGTTGCCTGGCAAATTGATAACCAAGTTACAGACAACAAAATAATTACAAGTTCGCGTCCCGGTGGTGGAGGGTCTTTTAACTCTGGCATTAATCCCCTGCACTCACACTCTGACCCGAGAAAACCCATATAGCCTAAAAGGTAAGGAAGGGGAGGGCAAAAAACCAAAAGACCTTTAGCTACTTCTTTATTCATTTTTCTCATTAACCCAAAAAAATGAGTGTATCATCTAACACTAATGTAACATGTAGGGAGAAGAGGGCTTATTTGGATTTACCATCATAGAGTTATTGGATACTTATTGGATTTACCATGATATAGTTAAAGAAGACATGAGTTTTTTTGTATATAAAACGATAATAGATTTAAATATCTTTCACTGTTTCAAAACCATATACAAACCTGTACATGCTGTACACAGTCAAATTCATAAGGCCCCTTATGACTATTGGACGCCTTCAGCTTTATGTATTGTTCACCTGTAGTAGACGCAGCAGTCTCGTTCTCGACCTATGAAAGAGAGCAATTATTGTTCATGTTTATTCTAAAATTACATTAAAAATCAAATAAATTGTGAAAATATTTTATTTTATATAGGCCTGACCGAAATAAAATGGCAAATGATTAAAATTCATCCATGAGAATATTTTTCCTTTACAAAAATAAATAAATAAAAAATCATTCATTTTAATTGAAATTACTTTAATTTTTTTAAATAATATTCCGAATTTTTAAATTTCTAATTATCTACTCTCTTAATATCTATGTATATACATATATATATAATTACATCTAAAGTATCTTCTCTGTTATGCCTTCCAATAGTTTTTGCTTTTATCATGGTTTTTCTGACAGTGGATCCAAAGAATTTTTTCAATTGTGCAGTTCTCCTTCTCATACCACCTTTACCCTCTTCATCTTCGTCTTCCCTTCGAGATACTTTAGAATCAACCGATTCTTCATCAGATTCCTTCTGTTTTTCTAAAGAGGTGTTTGAGACATACTCAGATGTCAGCCTCATAATATGAAGGGACAAGGGGTTAATACATTGGGGAAGTTTGTCTTCTGCAATACTTAAAGGAACCCTTTCTCCGGTGTCTAAGTTCAGAACAGTAACTTGCTCCAAAATTTCCTGTGATAAAAAAGTACAAATCATATAAGTTTCCAAGATTTGACATAATTTTGCCTGTATTATTATAAATAATTTTGTTTTTATTAAAATTATAATTAAAATTAAAATAACTTAAACCTTATAGCGAGATTAACAAAAAATAAGATATTATAATTCTGTATTGAAAATGGCTTCTTTCTAATTAAATATGAAAGTATAAATTGTTCACTAGAAAGTAAAAAAAAAAATCTTATACAAACAAAAATGATGTTAATTTAATAAACCTACTAGAATTAACATTTTAACATAATTAGAAAAGGACACATAAATAGAAAAAAAAAAACAAAAAAGAGTGAATGGTTTTCTTAGAAACAATAAGAAAAAAATGTCAAAAAAAGTACTAGTTGCTTCACCAGCTTTTTCTTTTGTTTTTTTTTTTTAATTTCAAAACCATAAGGTACTATTTGGCTGGCGCGGTCGACGACAGCGACCGCTATTCCCCCCTGCCAACCGCTGTTGGCGTACCTATTTCGCTGAAACTGCTCACTGGAGTTGTTATAACCTGCCTATAACCTTCGAACATTTCGCTGTATCTTCCAAGATAAAAAGATGGACATAATATAAGAATAAAAATGAACTTCCTATAATAATGAACATCTCTGACTAACGCTTTTTTATTTGAGTTAGAAAAAGAAGAGAAAATGTTGTTCATAAAGAGAAGGAATATCAGTATTTCGATGTGATGCTCATCATCAAAGTTCCTCTGATATTACATATTATTAGTTTGAAAAATAATAGTAATTAATACATAATTGGTTACTAATAAATATCATATATTTGTAATTAAATCTCAGCAAGCGATGTTTTAGAGTTTTATCAATAGTAATCAGTAAATCACCACTTTAATTAAAAAATACAAATCGTTTTTTCAATGGGTGGATTTTAATATTTACCTGACGATAAAATTTTTTGGATTCTTTAATTTATTTAATATCGTTTGGATTTATGTATATTTGTATTTCGCTGTAAAATATTGCTGGTGGAATAAATAAATAAATAATCTTGTTACTTCAACATTAAAAAAATGATTTACTATTGCATTGTTTCAGTTTTAAACAATATTTGTTATAATTTTGCCAGACTTGAAAGAAACATAGGAAATAAAACGTATGGACGGGACTGTTATCATCAAAACAATGCTTTGATATGATAACATAACCTACAACCGCCGAACCGCCAACAGCTCCACTGCTTCCAGAGGAGTCAGATACGAGCAGCTTAGATATGACGTCATACCTAGACTGCCGAGCAGCGCCAGCGAAATAGGTTCCTTTCTATTCCACTAAAGCAGTGGTCAACCGCCAGCAGTCGCGGTCGTGGACCGCGCCAGCGAAATAGTACCTATACTTATTTAGTAATTCATTACAATCCCCTCACTCATTCAGAATGGATGCCTGGGTCTACTGAAAATGGGAGTTTGGAATAATTTCACATTTTTTAAACAGCCAATGAGAAAGAAATCAATAATCATATACATCCCTAAAGAGTGAAGCTATTAGGTTAGACCCTACTCAGACATACGACTAATAATTCACTTGGCCAGACTAATAGCACTATCTGATAGGCTACAAAAATGAAGAAGACATCCAGTTACAGGACTAAAGAAACTTATTATTTACTTGTAATTAATTTCTATGAGTATGTGAAATTAATATATTAATCTTATTAATGTAGGAAGGTATTATAATAATAAAATTTATATCCAGAAATGTCATGACTTAGCCTTCACAATATAGTAACAAATAATAGCTTTCTCTAAAATTCTGAATACTCACAAGATCTGATAATGGCTTTCCTGATTCTGTTCTTGTTCTAACGAACATATTAAGCTGATTTGGAAGGAGGGCTTGTTCATCTCCAGCTGATCTTCGCCTCTCCCTGGGAGTTCGAAGGGTTGCTCCTCCTCCTAACGGATAAGTTGAACTATTTCTACTGATACTTCGGCTACATTTCCTTTTCTCATTATTTTCCTATTAGAGAAACACAATGATCAAAAATTGAAGTATTTATATATTAAATATGAAAAGAAAATATAGATAGTCAAAGTATAATAAATTGATTATGGCTGACTTTTGTAAATTTGTTATGTATATAAACTATAGCATCAATAATTGTTTCTACTTTAATTCTGGTAAAGAAATAAAATAAAATTGCTACAATATATATATGTAAACATGATCCAAATGCAATACTATATCGAGATATGTTAGGTCAGTGTTGGAGGATCTTGGCCTTGCATTTTTTTTATGATTCCTCAGGTGTGCTGTAGTCAGTACTTAATTACACAAGGAAGGGTAATCAGCTGTCAAGAACATTGAGGCTGATATTGACAAAAATTGGCATAAATGTATCTTATTAAAACAGCAAATATTGCTAAGAAGTGTATTAGCTAGAACTTACAGAAGGTAGGGTCATCATCAGTTAAAGATGACAAAACCGATTATTACTAAAAAGTGAAAATAAAAAAAATATATTCAGAACTGGAAACTAAGAATTTCTTCAGGGTTCAGAAGGCTTAGGAGATGACCATGATATATCCAATCTATGGGAGCATATATATATATATATATATATATATATATATATATATATATATATATATATATATGATATATGATATATAATATATATATATGAAATATATATATAAATGAATAAAATAAAATATGTGACTAAAATCAATTAAGGAAATAGGAAAAATCGACTAGATGGCTAAGCTAAGACCTAGAAACAGGTATGCAATTATTTAACCACCTCCTATGAGAAGGAGTTAGTCGAGGGTGCGGTCAAATAAATAAAAAATTAAAATTTATTTTAATTTTTACCCAACCACCTCTATTTCTATCATAACCACCTCCTATGTTTCTATTATTGAAATTTAAATTAATATTAAAAGATAACATATGTAGCGACATATCTTTGAGTTTTATGATTCATTCATGTGCACCCTTCCATTTTTATGTGAAGATTTGATCACATTTTCTGCGGAAAATTTGATGCATCGGAGAATTGGAAATTCATAATACAACCTCAATCTTTAAATAAAGATAAAAATATGTAATATATTAAATTAATAATTGAGGGTTGATGGTTGACTGTATTGAATAACTGAAGAGAAGAATGTTTGGGGTGACCAGTAAAAAAAAAAAAAAAAAATAGTAAAAATAAATAAGTATATTTATTTTTGTAGACGTTTCGGCCCAAAGTTCAGGGCTGGTCAAACGAAGGATGTCGCAAGATGAGATGAGACCACAACAGGTCTTGCGACATCCTTTGTTTGGGCAGCCCTGAACTTTGGGACTAAATTTCGGCAAAAATATACTTATTTATTTTTACTTTCACTTACCTATACATGTAATAAATAGTAAGTGTAAGTATTGCGATCGTGAAAATTTTTGAATCTGAGTTTTCAACAGAATTACAAGTGTTGAGGTCCTCTGAGTCCAAATAACCAAGTTCCGAAAAATGGTCTATGTGTATGAGAACACTCTTGCACAAAAATGAAAAGTCGTACGAAATTGATATTATGTATTTAAGATAGGTAAATGCCTTAGATGTTCTAGCAACTTTTTCCTTAAAATCGGCTATCCAGAAGTGCCACTTTATATCAACGCTAAAACACATTTTTCTCAAAAACGGCTCTAACGATTTTGATTAAACTCGGTGTATCATTGTATAATTAAGTGGTGTTATCCCCGTTGATGTCACTTCACAGGGTTTAAATGCCAAATGTTCATATGTCTCTTCCTCTAAAGTACCTTTAATATGGTTTATTTTAAATAATTAACTATCTCTCATTATTAAGAGTTACGAAAAGATGCTAAATATAACTTTTGAAAGAATTTGATAATTGAATAAAGGAGAAAAAAATAAAAAATGCTTATCCAGGTAAAAATGAATCTCCGGAAATACTAGTCAGAAGGTATAAGTATAAGTATAGTATAATACATAGGAAAGCGGAGAATTTTAGAAAAAAAAATAATCTAGAAAGTTGTAGAAGGTAACGGTGAGTGGAGTGGAGTGGAGTTATTGAAAACTAATAATATTTAACGTAAATCACATGTTTTCAAGGAAATTAAATGAAATTTATTAACTAAATGTAAACTTTTAAAATATTTTTAAGTTTGAAAAAAGTATTTAAAATCCACTTAATCAAGGCAATGACATTGTTAAAAAAACTATTTTATTGCATGTGTGTGAAAGAAGAAGTAAAAAATAAAATCATTTCATGGATGTATAAAGGATATGTTTATAACCTTAAATACATTTACTGTGGTTTAATAATTCTAGATCTGATTTATATTTAAATAATTAGGTACAATGTCCATTAATTCTGAAATATTGTCATGTAACTTTTAAGAAAATTAAATTAGTGAATAATTTGATGAATCTTTCCTTTGTGATATTCCAACATTATCTACTAATATTTCATTGTACTTGTGTGAAAGAAGAAGTGAAATATAAACATATTTCATAGATACTTTTATAACTTTAACTATATTTACTGTAGTTTAATAACTCTAGATCTGATATTATATTTAAATATTTAGGAATCTATCGTCCGTTTATTCCGAAAAATCATCATGTAACCTTTTAGAAAATCAAATTAATGAATATTTTGATGAAATTTTCTTTTGTGATATTCCAATAGTATCCACTTACAATTAGTGTTACAACTTTTGACCTGTCTGTGACAGACAATGTAAATCTCTTAATTCCGTTTTAGTAAACTTTGTAATGGAAAATAACAGTTAAATAGCTAATAGTCGTACAATCCATAATCAACGGATCGTACAATCCATAATCAACGGATCGTACAATCCATAATCAACGGATCGCACAATCCACAATCAACGGATCGTACAATCTATAATCAACTGGTGATGTAATAAATAGGACTTTTGTTATTTTAATGGTGTTTATGATTTGTTAGCTGTATTTTTTTAGTTTTTGCTCAGTTAAAAATGCAATCCAAAAATTTTATAATAGCCCAACATGGCCAGAAAATAATTTCTATTCGAAGTTGAGCGGTAAGTGAAAGTTGTGTGTTGCGCGCACCAGTTTTTTTTTTTTATTGATCACTACAACCATTCTTCTCTTCTATTAAATTAAAATGTTCACATATTTTCAAATATATCCATATGTTAAAAAAAAAATCTGATATATGAAGAATACATATTTACAGTATTACATTGTTGTTCATTTTACAATAATTATTTTAATTATATTATTTATTATTTATAATTTTTATACAAAATAACCCAAGGCTTTTTTGGGAAGCCCATCATCCTCTCTCCCCAATTATAATGTAAAGTCTACAGCTATGATTGTATGCATTAAGAAGGATATAGAAATCATTAAAGAATATCTGAAGAAAACATTACGAATATTAGCCAGATGGGTGTTACAATCAGTTGATTTCTTCTTCAAATCCATTGTATAATCAAATATATTGTTATCAACCAGCCCTGGGGCCGATGATATGCTCTTACCAACTCACCATCATCATCTCTACCTTAATAAAAAATGAAATTTTTGTCAGGGACTTCTCTTTAAACTCAAAACTATAATGCCTAATACATACTATTTCATTCTCCAGTCTTTCCTTTTCGACAGATTCTTCTTTGTCTGACAGGGTTTAGAAATTTCCTCAATTTGACCAGTATCAGCAGGGGTGCCTCATGGATCAATATTGGCTCCTTTAACCTACATTATCTATACCCATGCCATAGCTACCACCCTATGAAACATTGACTGCTACTTACGCTGACGATATAACAATTTTAACAAAACACCATGATCCAAGACTAGCCTCATTAAATTTACAAAATCATTTAATAAATTGGTATTCATTTGGAAAATCATGACAAATCACAACACATAACATTTACGCTTTGACGAGACATATGCCCATCAGTTTATATCAGCAACAATCCAATTCCTCAGATGGACACTATAAGCTACCTCGGGCTAATATTTGACAGAAGGATGATCTGGGGCCCATACGTCAAAATGAAACAAAAGACTTTGAACAAGTGACTGAAAATACTATACTCACTTTTTTCTAAATCAAAATCGAAAATTGGACAAAAAACTAAATACCTACACTTACCTGCTCAAACCCATTTGAACATATGCCTCACAGATTTACAGTTCAACAAAAAGTACAATCTTTTCAATCTAAAATTTTAAGACTAATAACTGCAGCCTCCTGGTATGTCAACAATAAAACTTTACACAGCGACCTAAGACAGCCAACCATTGACCAGCACATATGTACTCTCTGCTCCCGATTTCATTTAAACTACACGGACATCACAATGGACTTATCAATAACATGGCCACGGCTGAAATGCTCATTAGGAGGCGACTGAAAAGGAGCTGTACGAGAGATCTCCTTTCCTGATTTCGGGATGTAAACAGACCAGGGAAGAGGTGCTGTTGGGTTCCATTCTTTGTCATGCCTATCATGCCATTTTCTACCTAACAACAAATCTGCTAATTGTCACAACCATGACAGGTTCGGATGAAGATTTGAAGACAAAAAAAATTATTTTTTTTTTGTAAATTTTAATGCACACTAAACGTTAGCAAGAATCTAATATAGAATGGTAACAAAGCTAAAACAATTAGAGATAATACATTATTTTACTATTAGATAAAATCCATAGCTTACTTAGTAACAGGCAGAGGGTGTTGTGTGAGGTGACATAGAATAGAAGTGTTTGAGATAGAGAGATTGATGGACTAAGTTAGTGGAAAGTAGACCTGGTCAAACAGTATTTTAATTATTATTTTAAAATAACCAGTATTTTGTAAAACCCTGATACAGCTATTGAAAGTGATTGATCATTAGTTTGTTAAATAAATCATAGAATAGAAATTAAAAATTAAACCATTAGAATTACATAGTAGTTACGGAAGCATGTATATAACATGGACAAACAACTTAATGAATAAATTTAATGCTGATTTTATTGATATAGGAATTCAACATTAAATATTTTTAAAAAAACTCTATCAATTACAAGCCATGAAGGGTCTTGGACTCAGTGCTTCGTAAGAAAGTAATACTGTTTCAAGACCAATAGTTGTGCAGGGAGATGATTGTCTCGGGTTCACAATTACTTAATTCAATTAAAGAGTACCAACTTTAGCCCCAGGAGGGTCTACTGAACCCAGAGTCGGCAGATGAAAATTACTTGTCATCAGCCGGATTCAAACCCGCAACCTTGAGCTTAGGAAGTCAGTGCTTACTCACTAGGGGGCGGGGTGGCCGAATGGGCTGAAGCATGTGCACAGCACCGCGAGTTGCCACGTCCCAGTGCCGGACGTGATTTTAAATTCCCCACCCTCACCCACCGACCCGGGAAAATACTGTATAGCCTAAAAGGCGAGGTAGGGAAGAACAAAAAAAAAAAAAAAAAAAATGCTTACTCACTAAACTACCTTGTTTAAATATAGACAAAAAATGAGCAAAAACTATATCCCTATAGATGTTAGCTGCTTTAATGTTAGGTTGACAATTACCTGATGTTGGACATGACATTCTCCCTTAGTAGCGGCCTTTATATCAAGAGAATGTTCAAATTCTCGTGTAATTGATTCAATGGTACTTGCAGGACTCGGAAGAGTCGACCTCTTGTAGGCTGGCTCATCCACACTAATACTCTAAAATATTAACAATGTGTCAGCTACATTCATGTTAATTAGTGCTCAATAAAAGGATAAAGAATAATTGATATGTTTAACAACTCAAATAATGAAAATTGATAACAGTACAAATTATATGGCATTTATATTAGGATTTAACTAATCAATGTATTAGACACCTTGGTAAGCTTTGAAGGCTGTTCCTCTTTTTTCTGAATGGGAAGAGTGGACGGAGGCTGTGTGATCTTGTTCTTTTTCCTTTTCCTTGGGGGAGCTACAGGAGCAGGGAGTGAAGGTTCAGCAGACGACGTGGTAGTCACATTAGAAGAGTTCTGAATACTATTTGCTTTGGTACTGGCGATAACATCAGGTTCCTGAAGTTTTGGAATCTCTTCAGTCCTTTTCTGATTTAAAATTTTTGATTGCTGGCTATTTTCAGTACAATCATCACCAGGATCTGAAGGACATTTCAATGTGCTTGTAGAACCACCAATTTCTGCAACTGAATCCTTTTGTACATTCTGGACAGCAGCTAATAAAATATGAGTAACAATATAGAACATTAATTAAAAAAAATTTTTTTTTAACACAAAAATAAAATTTTAAAAATCATCTACTATAATTAATAAGTGACCAGAAATAAATAAGTGCAGTGGCAAAACTAATAAGCAATTTATTCCAATTCAACATTCTAGGTCAATGGTGGAAAACTTGAAGTCTCCACGAGTTGATGTTCGGCCGAGATACAGCATGCAACCTCCGAGAGTTTTCATGCAGATTTTATATAATCTAGATGTGGTATTACTTAAAATTTAAATACTCATAAATAGTATATGCTTAAATACAAATGAAATATATTGGCCTCCTTTTATGCTGCCTAATTTAAATGTGATCTCTAACAGTAAAAAATTTATCTACCTACGTTTCAGGCTATGCCCTTTTTAGTCTAAAAAAAGGTTGAACATGTATATATCAGCTTTATATATCTTATTAAACACAGGTATATATAATTGTGATTTTTATGAGAATATTTAAAATTTAGAAATTTTAGCCAATTGATAATTGTTAAAATCAAGATAGTGGATGTAGAGAACCCTTAGGGCCAGTTATCATCTAGCATTCAGACTGGTTAATGAATTCTAGAGAAATGGTTCAATAAAATCCTGAACAAAGAAGAATTCCCAAAAAGCTTATGATGAATTATACTTTAGAAAAAGAACAAAAAAAAAAAAAAAAAACAACAACTCATAATTACTGAAATATATCAGTAGCAAAGGAAATTGGTAAAGATGAAATGCTCTGGCCACAATATTCAAAAATATTTATTACTAGATACATTATCCAGAAGACTGAATATTGAAAATAACAGGTCAGACCGAATTTGAGTTTGATCCAAATGCTAATCAAAATATGTTCAATAAGATCGATTTCTGATTACCATTTCAAAAAATATTAATGCCCTGCATTAAATCTAACTTACAGGGAGTGGGGTAGATGGAGGCAAAAGGGAGCCAAGAAAAATTACTTAACTAAATTCTGTGAAAAGATTACTGGTTTGATATAAGCTCAATGTTCATAATGAGATTATGACAAAATAAAATTATCCAAGAAAACTACATAATAATAATAGTGAAGAGAAGGATATCTACAGGGGGCCATCCACCAGATAACAACCGTCTTACTAATCCTTCTCTTCATTATTCATGACTGTCAACCATTAACCCACAATCATAATAATAATAATTATTATTATTAAATAATTATTATAATAATATAAACCTGTATCACATAATATTCTAACCCATTAATGTATATTACCAGGTTCTTGAGAGTTGCTCAGCAATCTGCCAATTCTTCCTAATGAAGTGAGACTGTGAAGGCTTAAAGCATCATGCTCGATGATCCTAAATGGGTGACTTTGAATTGAGCGAGTGTCTGGAGCTGGAAAAACCCCATCAAAAGAAGATGTTTGACTGCTTGTAGGAGATGTGCCGACAGTGTTAAATATTTCTTCATCTTCTGTTTGCATACGCTTCCTTACTTCTCTCAACTTATGCCTCTTGATTTTTTCGACCCCCTAATATGATTTATATAATAAAAAATGGTTTCCATTAAAATTTTCAAAACAAAATTTAATCATATGGACTTTAATTAACTAAACTTACAGTTTTTTCCAATCCTGTTTGAAGAGAAAGTGAATTGGGTACTTTGGGAGGTATAACAGTGTCATACTTCTTGTCATCTAGTTTCAATGTTGATTGAAAATCGGATTCACTCTTGGATGGTGTCAAACTAGTAGTTTTTGGCTTTCTGAACAAACAATTTTCACTGTGAGAACAGATGTAAAAATGTCATTATTAAATCATATTATGTTATTAATGATCTATATATGACTTCAAATCTTTAAGAAGCTAATTTAATAATTTTCTTTCAATAAATAAGTCAGAAAATACTAAAATATAAACAAATTTAAATCAGTAAATAAGGACAGGTTATGATAAGAACAATGATTTCTACCTTACAAGCTTGTTAGGTGTGTGATCTTCGGCATCGTAATACTCATCTGAATCACTGCTACCAGACATCTTAAATTTGAAGACAATTAATGAAGTATTTTATGACATTTTTAAGAAATAAGATTAAATAAATGAACGTAAGTTAATCCACAGCCTTCTACATCTTGTATGATCACTCCTACCAATGGGAAAGGAGAGAACCAAGTTTATGGGATTCTATTGGTTGTAGTAAAGTTATACGAGGCCCGTTGATATTTTCATAGCAATAGCAAGATGGATGACCTAGAAGTGGAAGTATGCGGCGAAAACGGTGCTTATTATAAGGTAAGTTATTAAAGAAGTATGTATTCATAGTATTGGACAGGTGTACAGAACTTTTAGCCTTTGTAATTTCGTGTTTTTTTGGTGATCTTGAAATCAATCCGTGCCTCTTTCCCTTGCGAATTTGTTCCATTGGTGGCTTTCAACATGGTTAGGACGCCATGTCTTCTGTCAGGGCGTGATTTTTCCATGTGCACAAAATAATTATTAAATGAATTCAATAGTTTAGTGTTATATGTACAATCGAGATCTGTTAACAATACGCCAAACTTACTAACCATCTTCTAACCTCGTCGAAGCGTCGAGAACTCAATCAAGTTTCATACCCAAACTATCTTTATTTCACGTTTTGGAACACAATAATCGTTCAGTTGTTCGTTTTTCCTTGCGACTTTGTGGGGAACCACTATTATGGACATGGTCAAAAGAGTCATTTATGTTCAGTATTTCATTTACTAACTGATCTGTTCCCTCCTTCAAATACTGTTCTATCACTCCTTTTACTTAAGACATTAGGTAATACTGCTCATTGGATTGTTTACATACACTTATTTGTAAATAAATATTACTTTAACATTTTTGTGTTTTGTTTGTAATTTAATTATTCATATTTTATGTTTTATTAGGCTTATGTCACTGATGTGTTTGAGAAAGAAGTGTCAGTTGCCTTTGAAAATGAGTAAGTAGTTTAGATGTTATTTATTTGTTAATAATCTGAATCAGGTTATGGTACCTATAAACTATTATTAGATCTAACTGTAACTCTACTTCCTCCATTTTTGGAATCATGTTGTTTTCCTTTTAGATGGCAGGCTGAGTCCAGGTTTACCTTTAACCTGGTGCGGTTACCTCCTCCTAAAGATGCCCCTAAAACAGAATTTAAGGAGAATGAAGAGGTTGAAGTACTTTCCCGATCAAATGATCATGAGTCATGTGGATGGTGGAGAGCTGTCATTAAGGTATCTCAAACTTTTTTTTTTTTTATGCTTATCTCATGTTGTTATTCATAAGTTCAATGTTTACACTAAACACTATTTTGTTATTAATTTTAGATGATGAAGGGAGATTTTTTAGTTTTGGAATACCTTGGCTGGGAAACAACTTACACAGAAATTGTTCCTTCTGACAGGCTAAGGCACAAAAATACCAATCCTCCTATTACAGCACAAACATTCACCAAGTTTGAAATAGAAGTTCCAGAAGAGCTGCGGGAATAGTAAGTGTTATAAGTTTTGTATCGGGTGAAGCATTACTTATTATTATACTAAACACTTGTGAATATATGAATAATTAGTCTTTACGACTGTAGTGCGAAGAAGGAAAATGTTCATAAAGAGTTCCAAAAAGCTATCAATGCTTCAATCTGCCGTTATATCCCTGAAAGTGGAGTTCTAAGCTTTATATCAAGGTGTGAAGGAGCAAAAAAAAGGGCTACAATGTTGCAAGAAATGCATTTTAGGAATTTGCATCAAAAACTGTTGCTCTTAAAACGAACAGAAGAAGCTCAAAAACAGCTAGAATCAACCAAGCTCCAGAACACAGGAGGGTATGTACTAAGTCCTCACTTTTTATCATTTAATTTTGTGAAGTTATACTATATATGTCCATGTTCATTTTATGGAAGAAGGAATTGTTTTAATGCTGGATTTAGTGTTTGTAAATGAATAATCCTTAGTTTTTTATTGTTTGATCATATCTATGAATCATTTTGTTAATACCGATTAATAGCTTATAGAGATTAGTGTTCATATTTCCATTTCTTTTAGATTCTCTGATGAGTTCTCAGTTAAGGAGGATTTAATGGGTCTAGCCATTGGTGCTCATGGAGTAAATATACAGCAAGCGAGAAAGCTGGATGGTATTACCAATATTGAATTGGAAGAGGGTTGCACTTTCAAGATATATGGTGAAGTGAGTTGTCATTTCTCTTTTGTTTTTAAAGTTAGATCAGTTATTATTGTCTATTATTCATTATAATTGTATCAGGTTTAGCACTTCTTTCATGTGAAAAGATGATGTTTATTTTATATTTTATTTCATAGACTTAATATTCTCTAGCTATATGTTTTTAGTTACCATGCTGGCTACTTTACGATTATTTCTTAAATGGAAGATTTTTTGGAATATTCTCTAACGATAGTATTAATTTTAATTCTACTTTAAGAATTTTAAATTTATATATACATATATAATATTTTTCTTTCAAAGCACGAGTATCTTGCTGTTAATCTTCGGGCTTATTGATATAAGTTTTGGTTATGGTAGCGGTTTAAAATTTTTGGTTAGTAAAGTTTTATTAATTATCTAGACCAAAAGTTCATATTTAGTTGACTCTTATAAATAGTATTAATTGGTCTCGTCTCTTGGACTAAATCGCAGCAGAAAATAATACTTTGCTCTGATGAGCACTTAAAATAGTTATTAACGCTATAATCCGCACTTGAACCACTCGAAGGTACTATTTTGCTGGTACTGCCTGCAGCAGCGACCATCATCTATGTCTGCCAACCGTTTATACTTGTCTATTTCCCTGAAACTGCTCATCGCAGCAGTTGAATTTTGAAATTAGGCGATGTTAGTGTTTTATAATATTGTAGACAGAAAATATAAGCCTCATGATAAAAGAATATGAATAAATAATTTCAAAATTAATGATGTATCTCAGATTTTAAATTTTATACTGGTTATTAGTCCGATCATTTCAGTAATAAATATGATATCATCGGTTGATTGCAAAAAGTTATCAAGTAACACTCCCTAGATTCACTAATTTCTCATCTTCAGTTTTATGATTTCCTTCGAGAACTTTTTTTTAATTATGAACTTCATAGCCTTGTGTGTATTTTTTTTTCTCTATTCATTTGGAAAATATAAATAGAACTTCTGTTAATCATTTATGATCTTTTATCACATTAAATCATTTGTTCATACTGCTGCTTTTTCTTTCTCATTGAGGGAAAGTAGTTTAGGATTTGCAAGTACTTATATCGATGACTAAGTCTGTTTGATTATTTTATCATGCTTAATTAGAGCAGTTTTTTTTTTTTAATATGAAGTGAATAAACCAAAAATCCTTATTCAAAATTCAGTATGAATGATTTTTTTCAAAGTATCAGTTACAAAGTACCTTTAGCGTTATATGCTGAGAACCAATATATTTTTTTTGAGATATGGAGTAGTTCAGTTGGTAAGGCATTGAATTCCCTAACTTGTATGTTAGTAAATCTATTTTCTCGTATATCAAACTTGGATTTGACTATAGGTTGAGGCGATTCCTAACTGTATGAACTTCTCTAAAGTAGGTACTAATTTTTCAAGGGGTGGAAGGAAGAAGTTCATCAGAGTATTGTATAATTGTTGACCAAGAAATTTTGTACATGTACTTAGCAAATATTGAACTGGATGAGAAAAGTTTTTTCTTTCTTCCCTCTATAAAAATAAGACTATAAGTGTTTTTTTTTTTAAATTTACGCTGTCTTATAAATCATTCCTCGTCATCTAACATCAAGTTTTTTTTATTTGACTATTTATCATATAAATTTGATATTTTATCGTTGCTTAGTCTTCTTTTCTGATTATGGTTGCTTTTGTTCTACGAAAATAGCTTTGTCCATTAACTAAATAGATTTAATAATATTTTATTTTATTTCTTCAGTCCAGTGAAGCTGTTAAGAAGGCGAGAACCATGCTGGAATATAGTGAGGAGTCAATGCAAGTGGAAAGAAGTCTAGTTGGAAAAGTAATTGGAAAAAATGGCCGTATAATTCAAGAAATTGTTGATAAAAGTGGAGTTGTAAGTTAGGTTTTTAATTAAATTTTATATTAGTTTTACAATCAACTTTTCTAATTCTCATTATTGAGATGAAATTGATGTTGCAAATAATAAAGGTAGAAACAAATCTTTTGGTTAAGCATAGTATGAATTTTCTACTGTTTGAGAAATACTATTAATTTTTTTTCTGCCATGCAGTGGGTCAAACCACAAATTTGACAAACAGAAATTCATATCTTAATGTCAGTTAAATTTTTAATGGAACATAAATCTAGTAGAGGTATAAAGAATGAGTCAAATTTAATTCCAAAAAAATTAATAATAAGTAAAAAATATAAAATGAATGGGAAATGACTATCTACACTATATGTAATACAGAAGTATATATCCCTTTTTTGTGGTCCTCATAAACGATGGATTTTGATGTATGAGGTATTGTTTAATAGGCAATTACATGGAGATGTGATAAATGTCTATTTGAAACTTATGACCTTACTAAAACACTCTAAAAGTCATTGGAAAAATTGGTAGATTCAAAAACTTGATGGACAAGACAGGATAAATTGTGTTTATTAAATCAAGACTCCTTGAAACTAGACCGAGCCCTGCATTCTATAGTCCTAACATTATATTTTCAAATCTAATGCAGTTCTTGCTAAAAGCCTCTAGGGTGCTATGGTTGTCAAATCTTTGGGATTTAAAAATTGAAATATTATCATCCATGATGTCTTCAACAAACTAAAAATCTATTGAAATTAAGAATGGCATAGTTCTATATTCCCTTCAGCTTTTTGATATTTTAAATATACAAAGCAGATTGGCAACCAATCTAGAAGATGGCTAAAGTCAGAGAATTTCCAAAACAGGGAAAAGTCGGGGGAAAATTGTTAAATTGGAAATAAATAAACAGTGGATATCGTTAAATGGCCTTAAAGGGGTAAACTTTGTCATTATAAAATGACCACCGTTGCTATATTCATCCACCTTAGACTGTCAATAACAGCACTGGTTGTTGAAATCTAACAAGGGTTACGAATAACATTTTGAACAAAATGGACTTGAAACAGTGCTTTTTGAAAAGTAAACTTACCAGTACTGTTTATTATTTGTAATATATAAATCTGGTTCAAGATCTGGCTGGAAAGCACTCATTCGTTTGACGCCTGGTGCTCCTTAAAAGAGCATTTATTAACCAGAATTTCACTGTTGGTATCATATGGATAATTATTATGTATGCTATATATAGTAATAAAAAACTACATATGAAAAATTACATTAATATTAGAATCCTGTGTGGCTCATTTCATTTTATAATAGAGAAAATCAGAGGTTTATACGTCAAGTATAAACTTTTAATGATAAAAATAAATTATTAAAAGTTCAGTTTTCTAAAATAAAAATCCTAATCAAGCTTCCTTTAAAACTTATTTGTTATTAAAAAAACCTTTTTTTTTTTACTCATATTTTGTAGTCCATCTTTCATGTATAATAAATAAATTTAGTTATAAATTATACATTTTCAATATTTGTGTCTCCAGACATATTGGTCAGGGAAAAGTCGTGGAATTTTACTTGAACTGTCTGGTAGCTACCCAGTAAAAGAAATATTGCTCATAGTAAATATGACAACTACAAATTAATTTTCTATTCCAAACAAATGGATTTTGAGTTGGTACAATAATGTATTTGTATAAGTTAAGGGATAGGTATGTCTCAATGGTTAACTATTAAACTGGAGGGATATTTTCTAACTGGGACAATCTAATCTCTTAATTAAAGTAATAACGATTGTTACTTCAACAATTGTGGTAGAGTATGAAGTAACCATAATAAAACACCTATTGTGTGTGGTAAATAGACAATCTTGTTAATATTATATTATTTCATATATATAAAAGCGGGGTAGCTCAGTGATAGGATACTGAGCTTCTAATGCTAAAGGTCCCAGGTTCGAATCCCATCTCATAGCAGAAAATTTATTTATTCTGTTCCATTGGCCGTGTTGCGACCCTGGGTAGGAGACCCTCCTGGGGCAAAACCAGTCTCTATAAATTGGGTACCCTTAATTAAAATAATTAATTAAGGGGAAAAACCTGGCGGTTGAGCATGATCTTGGTCAAATAACCCCCTTCACAACCGTAGACCAAGATACAGTGCTTTCCCTAAATAGTTCTGAACCCAAGACCCTTCATGGGTTGTAGTGGTACAGTTTTTTTTTTTTTTTTTCTTTTTTTAATGTATTCTATGTTTGTGTGTGTATATATATATATATATATATATATATATATATATATATATATATATATATATATATATATATATATATATATACACATATACATACAAGTAAACATGTTTCAGTAATGTTGCTTGTAAGTTGAATGCATTAGAGGGGAGAATAGCTATCTAATGTTAAGCAATAGCTTAAAATACACAAACACAAGTTTGTGGCAATGTTTATGTAAAATGTTAGACTAAATTGTTAATTAACAAATAACATTGATTAGAAATAGTACAAAAAAAAAAAATGTTTTTTTTGTTTAATTTCTTCAACTCATTTTGATTTAAAAATTTGATAATAGCATGTATACTTAAAATATTACAAATATAAGACATAATCGCATGAAGCCATTTTTGTACCTCTTATATAATTGATTTATAGCTATATTTTACTTTAATAAACAATCAATCAACAAAATATTTGTTTTAATAGTTGCATACTTCTTATAGCTTTCGTTTTAGCAGGAAACATTAATTCTGATGAAAAAACACTTAAGGAAATATAATACAAAGATTTGTTATTTTTCTTTTGACTTGTTTTATTGAATTATTTGTGTTAATTATTGAGGATATTATCCCAAGTTAAATGTTATTTTCTACTCTCGTTTTTACAATTTCCATTTAAATATTCATTATTCAAAAGATGTTTTTTTTGCTGAATTTACTGTTTAATTCATTTTTTTGTTTTGTTATATTTCCTGAACTTATTTGAAATTCTATTAACAATGTAAGTAATAACAATCACTTATATTTATCCATATCTCTTACATTTTCTTATATTTTTATAAACATTCTAATCAAAGATAATTCTTTTAGGTGCGGGTGAAAATTGAGGGAGATAATGAGCCATCTCCGTCAGTACCTAGAGAAGAAGGTCTGGTTCCATTCATGTTTGTTGGGACTCTGGAATCTATTACCAATGCTAAAATTCTCCTGGAATACCACCTTGCCCACCTGAAGGTAATGGAAGAGAAGTACAGTGTATGTTATATTAATAATACTAGCTAATATTAATTACTAGTACAGTTTATTGAGCTTTAGATTAAGAGTTTATTTTTGTTAAACATTCTTTTTGATTGCCGCAAATCAACTGGTATTAAATATGTTATACTTGCTGCGTAATTATCAACCCATCCTTGTTAACTGCGAAGCTTTTTATAGATTTTTCTCTTAACCTGCAAAGGGTAGTGTTCCTCAAAATGTCAAAGTTTCTTGCATGATCCAATTAGTTTCCCAGTATACCCTTCTTCTGGCACTGTCTCCTTTCAACAGTGATATCTCCAACTATTTCACAAATGATGCTCGACGGTGGAAGACTCCCACAATAGCTAAGTCTGATTGTTTTTATTATTTAGTCGAGGCAACATCCCTAAATGACAAAGCAATATCCTTCTGCGTCAATTCTTCTTTGTTGTAGCGGCATATTCTAGCGTTAAAGGTTATTCATTTATTCCTCTTACAGGTATAATACCTATTTTGCTTACTTACTGTATCATTATTGGCGCCGAATAAAAAAAAATAGAAAAATATATGATAAACATGTATCTTCCCTTCGCTTTGAATTGCCTAACCAGAACGGCATTATGAAATGATCTTTAGTGGTGAATGACATTCTCACAAAGTACAGGAGAAGTTCCCAGTGTCAAAATTAGTTTATGGTTCTACAAATAAAAATTTTTCACAGGTTCATTTATTACTTATGTTTATTTTGTTTTTAATATTGTGTAAAATAAATAATTTGTTTATGAACAATTAAACAATATTTTGCTCCCATATCTTCATATAAAGTTCTTTTCTGAATAGATTTTGGCCAACTGACATAACACGTTAACTGCAGCTACGGTCTCCGGGTTCCGATATTCGTCTCGAATTATTTCGAATTTTGCCTATCTTAAAAAGCTTCTAAAATGGTCATTTTAAAAAATATTTATATATGAGTTGGATAGATGTAAAGATTAATAGAAACATAAATAATCATTACATCTGATATAAAGCTATCATATGCCGAGGACCATAACCGCAGCTAACGTGTTAAATACTTTTATTAATTTTGTTGTTTTGATTGTTTTAACTAAATATATCATAAAATGGTTAATTAGCAATTCTATAAGAGTTATAGATAATAAGAGTGTAAAAAGTACCAAAGAATTGCTATGAAGGATGAAGGAATAGTGTAGTGATACCTTTAACATAGGTTACAATAGCTATATCGTAATTTACAAATTCATTGTTGGGTACTAGTTAGCAAGAGTTCTGCACGGATTACGCGTGGTTCAAAATCACTTCGATCACACTTGTTCATGGAATCCCGAAAACAGCCGAATGTTTGTCGTCTTTTATGACGTCAGCTATTGCCCCATCACACAACCCTTTTCATGCATTTTTGATTTAAAAAAATGGCGTATTCCCTTCATGGAACTTCCTTATTAACGAATTGTGTATTTACTAATTAGTTAATTATTAATTTTTATTATAACGGTTATCACTGTGAAAGAAAAAGAAAAAAATACATAAAATAATGTTTGAGTCGTTTCTTCAAGGCCTGTTAAAAAAAAATGTTTTTAGAAATAACATTTTTATTGACAGTTGCTTACATGTAGTGGCTGTAAATACGCATATACTGTATATTATCTTTTATAACTGTGTATAAAAGATTTTTTTATCATTTGGATAATAAATAATTTGAAGTAATCTTTTTATTTGTTATTCGAGTTTTTCAATAGAAGTTGGAATAATTGCATTTATAATTTATTTTAGCAAGCCTTTTTTAGTTTATGTCATCTATCTAGTTTATGTAATTTTTTGGATTTCTAATAATACGAGCATCCACTATTTTCTAGTGGGGGGAGGAGGGGGGAGCGCTTTGTATGCATATACTGTCTGATTTGAGATTAAGCATCAAGTTTATGTAACTTTTTTGAATTCTTAGATATACGGATCCACTATTTTCTAGTCGTCAGAGCTTTTTATGAATATACTGTCGGATTTAAAATTGTTCGTTGATTTTTTGTAGATTTTTGGATTTCTAAGATATAAGAGTCCACTATTAAGTTGTCTAGGACGCATTTTATGAAAATAATGTCAGATTAAAGATTTATGAATATACTGATAATTCTAAGGTAATGAATAATGAAAATCATCAATAAGAAAAATAATATCGTGAAATAGCATTTAGAGATGTAATAATTAAAAATTTTTGTCTATTACTATTTCTTTTTTACAGATCTATAATATATATACAAGTTCAATTCAGGTTTCATGATGTGTAGCCTAAATTTCGAATGTAAATCTGCTCCTACTATATAACTGATTAAGGTTATAGAAGTACTTAAATGGCGGGAAAGTTAATAGTAGCTGGCCCAAGAGATCGGTCGCTTTCGTTCTCTTTTGGATAAACCCGAACGCATTCCAGGAACAAGTGTGACCGAAGTGATTGTGAACCAGGCGTAATCCGTGCGGAACTCTTGTGAACTAGTACCCATTGTTGGTTTGGATATGGTAGTGCAACAATTGATATGTCATTATTTATTTAAGCCATTGATAGTGCTCTCAAGACCCTCATGACAATTGATTGACTACTTGTGATTAAGGTCATGATGGCTGAGCATGTAAAGTGTAAACTTATCATTCAGTAATGTAGGTGCGAATCCGGCTTGGACGGGTTGAAATTTATTTTGTTGTGGATCCACAGAATGAATCTTGGCCTTCCCACTTTGCTTAGATTAGGTTTGGTTATACCTCTAGAACATCTACCTATCCTCTTCTCTCTCTCCTCCCTCCTCCACGTAGAAGTGGTATAATGATGTAGAGATGGTTGACCGTTGATATAATATGAGAAGGAGTTAATTGAGGGGTGCGGTCAAATAAATACTAAATTAAAAAATAATAATTATTTAATTTTTTGCCGACGTTTCGACCCATTTTGCAGGTCGTCTTCAGGGCTACAAAAGATACAAAACATGTTGAAAATAAAAAATAAATATAAATAGATATAAAATAAGAAGAAGTTGTCATATTCAGAAATAAAAAGATGATATCAGAGATATAGTGGGTGTAATTGAAAATAAGTATGAATAAAAATAAAAATAAAGGAGAATATAGGATGTAAGTTAAAAGTAAACAGATTGTGATAAAAGATAAGGAATAAGTGTATAACAAACTAATAGAGATTACCTTAGATAACTGTGGGTTAACAGATAAAGAAAATGAATGTTAACAAATAAATAGATTAAAAATTGAATAAGTATTGTTATAGTAAAGTTTAAATAAGAATAAGATAAAATAATAATAAGATATCAGTGGATAACAAGCTAGTGGAGGTTACATTGGATTGTAGGTAAAACAGATAACGGGACTAAAGGTTAAACCTTATTTTTATTCATACTTATTTTCAATTTGTTTGTATCTTCTACATATATAATACTTAATATTTTAATTACATTGTCACCCACTATATCTCTGATATCATCTTTTTATTTCTGTATCTGACAACTTCTTCTTATTTTATATCTATTTATATTTATTTTTTATTTTCAACATGCTTTGTATCTTTTGTAGCCCTAAAGACGACCTGCAAAGTGGGTCAAAATGTCGGCAAAAAATTAAATAATTACTATTTTTTAATTTAGTATTTATTTGACCGCACCCCCCAATGAACTCCTCATAGAAGTGGTATACTATACTATAATATAAATGATGAAGTAGAGAGTTTTGGGAGAGAAGGTTGTAGACCGTTAACTTCCTCTCCCTGCCTCATTTTAATTACCCAAACAAATTAATTGCTACAATCTAATGGAGATTATTTTAACTTGGATTATTGCCTATCTGATAGATTTTTTAATATATATTTCTAGTAGGATTTTTCTCGTTTTGCAAACAAATTCCTTAAGTATAATCAATGTTGCTTCAATAGCCAACAATAACGAAATGAACATCCATAATAAAGTTCATCATGAAGTCTAATTTAATTTTTTTTTATTTATTTATATTTATAATTTTTTTAGGAAAGTCGTAACAAATAGATTAGATAGATATTCAAAATATTAAAAACACTTTTTTCTTAAGTTTTCTCTCATATTACCATTTACTCCATTATATAAACATTTTGTTTTTATTAATCAAACCTTACTCATGTTCTTTAAAATTTGAGATATTTTTAATTTTTTGAGTTCACTAAAATATTATTATTTATTATCTTTATTTATTGATATCTATATCAGCAATTGAAATTATTGCAGGAGGTTGATAAGCTGAGACAAAACAAAGAAGCCATTGAAAGTCAAGTTCGGAACATGCAGGGAACAAACATGGGGTCGATGATGGGGTTCCCCATACAAAGGCGTAACGAGAGGTAACAAATATTAATGTTTTAAGCTAATGTAGCTTCTCTCTTCATAAAATCTATAGGGACTAATATAATAATTGTGTTTTATCGAAGATAAAAGTAGTGTTTTACATTATTCAAAATAACAAAGTATAAGATCATAAGGAGTAAACTGGCATCTCATCTAAAAATCTTTAATAACCCTTCATCAATTTTTAATTGGGGTCAAACTGTCCATTTACAAGTTTGACATAATAGGATTGTATTGTTTTCTTTAATCTATTTTTACCTGTATACTTAATTTTGACATATAATATTTCTCTGCCATGATCTTCAATTATATCTAAGAGTATCAAATGAATTAGTAAAGTTTAAATATATAAAAGAAGGATAAACATAGATTCTCACAATCTCTCAGTATAATATTTATATTACTATTACTAACCCTATCGTGGTTAAGCAAAAAGGAACACACCGGGAGTGGTTGGAGACTGAAGACACTCGAGTCATTTGAGGAGTCATCTTAAAAAGCAAATCAATGTAAACGGCTAGACTGCTAGCTGGTTATATATCCTTACTTGTACATATATACCTCGTAATCTAGTTTCCTAGATTAGCTTGTCACTTATCTAGGATCACTAATCCCTCTTTTCACTAATCTAGTTAATTACTCCCGCTGTGTTTCTAGTTTTAAATGGTAGTTTCAAGGATAAATCTAAGAGTATTTTAAATAACATTAGTTGTATCAAATCTTTTACATTTTACCTAATTATTGGATTTATATTTTATGTGTTATAATTAAATCCTTCTGTTAAAGAGGTTACAATTCCGATATGGAAGTTGGTGGTGGACGAGGGAGGGGAGGTCCTCCTAGAGGACGAGGTGGAAGAGGTAGAGGTGGCCCTGGTAGACACGATTCCAGGTATCAAGGTATGTAATAGTGTCAAGTTTATTTATTAATAGTTTATATAATAGTGTCAAGTTTATTTAAATTTTATGGACCGATCTTAGTCCTAACAAATGAAATATTCATAGCTCTTGTTTTGTATTTATTGGAGATAATATATTCATATTTGGGAGTTGGGTACTGGGCTGCTAAGATCAAGGACCCAGGTTCTAGTCTGGCTGTTGTCAAGTGATTTTTCATCGGCTGTGGATCAACTATCCTGGGGCACACCCAGCCTCTATAGAGTGGGTACTTTTAATTAAATAATTATTTAACCTGAAAACCTGGCGGGTGAGTGTGATTTTGGTCCCGATCACCCTCCTGCACTACTGTTGGCCTTGAAACAGTACTTCTTAACAAAGTACTGAACCCAAAACCCTTTATGGATAGTAGTGGTTAAGGTTTTTTTTTTTTTAATACATTCATATTTAATTATAGTTCGTCATTAGTATATCTAGTATCTTTGTATATCAAATCATGTATTAATTTTTCAAAACGTACTACAAAAATCCACCTGTGCAAAAGATGAATATCATCTTTTTTTATCTCAAAAAAATATATTTCATGATGTAATATCTTTATGATATATTCTTTATTGTTATTTTCGGAATGAATCTCTATGAAATACTACATTTTGTGCATATAATATTACTTTTGATAGCCGTCCAGTTAAGAAAAATATATATATTTGGAATACAAATATAGTATGTTTTCAATATTGAAACAAATAGAACTGATCTAAGGAGTAAAGTGGGTTCAAATATTTTTTCACGGAGAAATCGAGTTGAGATTTGTATTTTGCACCTCGAAAAACCCTTAAATTTAACTCTCATACCAATCGAAAAATAAAAAATGTTTGCTTAGGCTGGACAACAAAAGTTGTTATAACTTTGACATGGCGCCACACAAAAATTAGCATGAACTTGGGGGCTTATAATATATACAAAACGGCACAAACCAGAATCCTGCAAATAAATTAGGCTTGGAGAAAAAAATTAAAAGCATTCGGAGAGTTTCTGTTTGTTTATTCCTTATAAAGGCGTGAAATCTAAAAGTTATCGATATAGTTTTGAAGAGCAATAATTAAGCTTTCCAACAATTGTAGTAACATTGACTGAGGATTTATGAATATTTTCGTAAACGCCATGAAAAGAAATACCCCTATAAAATTATGTCCAAAAATTTATGTTTTTATTTCAAAACAAACTCGTATTTAAGAGTTTTAGTGGACCCTAAAAATGATGAATCTGAATAATTTTTCATGGCAAAAATTTACTTGATCTACTTTACTGGCAGTGTCTTAGGTTTTTGTAATTTATTATACCTTATAACTTGTTTAATACAATCAGCAATATGTATTAAAAAAAAAAGACAAATCAATTGTTATATAATAACTAACTAATAAATCCATGCAGGGTGTATTCAGAAAACAGTAACATAAAAAAAATAATAAAAATTTTTTTTCTCCGTCCCTAGGGTGCATTATCAAGAACCCTCTGACATGGGTCTAATATTTTTCAACCTAGTATCACCAACAAAAGTTTTATTGAAATCTGTCACCCCACGTCCCTAACCTCCCCTAAAGTAAATACAAATTTTTACATCAGCTCTTATTATTCTGATTTTCCACAAAATAAAGTTCTTTGTATTTAAGATTTATGGGTAGTTGTCTCGAATTGGTAATAGCCATGTGACCTTGGGGTCTACAAGATTTATCTTATACATCTTTAGTTTTTGTATATATATATTAACATAAAAATATAAATGTTTATTGTACTTTAGGTTCCAGACATCAAACTCCTGACACCGATGAAAGAGTTAAAGAAGGAGGAAGAGGGTATGGTGGAGGTGGCCGTGGTGGTGGCGGCAATTACATGCAGAGGAGAGATCGGGGAGACAGAGGGGGCCCTCCAAGGGCGAACAACCCGAGAGTAAGGCACGACGAAGACCAACCACCTCCACAGGACTTCGAAACAGGGGACTCAGGTATAAATCTCTGATGCATTTTAGAAATCCTTAACCCTTGTCCATTTTTGTGTTTCTCCTTTCCTTGATATCCTGTCAATAAAATATGTTATTTTTTAAATGAAAATTATAATAAATTAAGTTGCATCATGTCCTTTACTCAAGATAAAGTTGAAATAATACATGGTATCAAAACTAATTCTTTCTTGGTTTTACAATTGCGATGCCTTGTTCATGTGTTCCACTATTTCATTACTAAAGTAAATATTTGGTAATGCTATTGTAAATTATTTTATCATTATTTCCTAATCACTTAGTAAAAACAATTTTATAGTCAAACAAAATTTTATATTTCCATATATATTTTGAAGCTAAATTAGTTGGACTACATTTACTCTGAAATCAGATATAATCTTGGACGCAGCTTTGTTATTTATTACACTTGTAATATTTGATTTACTTCTTTTAATTTATTTGACCAGCTTTTGCTTTTTATTCTGAGATTTCTGTACCCATACCCTATCTTTGTTTTATCGTATTTGTCCGCTTTGGATAAAATATTTTTGAAATAAATAAACTTACACATAACAAGAAGAAAGAAGTAGACAAGTGAACCCAAAATTATCACCAAATCTGAAGAGTTTCCTTAATACAAATGAATTGTTCCATTGGATTAATGAAGTATATTAAGTTAACATTTATAAGGAAGGATGTTAATCTATAGGATCATATGCCATACTCTGAAAATGATTTTTATAAAATATATTGAGCACTGATCGTTGTTAAGAATGGGTTTTGGTTCAGTTATTAAGAACATAACCTATGATGGGGATATTCAACTTGAAACCTAATTGGCATTACTATGAAGGTTCTGAACATTTTTCCAGCGTTCCTGTAGACTCAGGGAACTTCCATGCTGGATGAGGAAGTAACTTATTTTGCGATATCACAAGGGAACTGTAAGTATTAATATTATGTTATCTCAAAAGATAAGAAATGAATAATGTTAATAAGCTTATAAAGAAAAAAAAAATGGGGAAGTGTCTAAGGATATTATTATTTCATGCTCATTTCGCTATTATGGTTGTGGGAAGAAGCACCTTTCATTTATTACTATGAGATTTAATTTTTTTTTAGTACGTTTTAAAAACAGAAATATAAAAAGGGTGTTTTATAAAAACAAAAATAAAAATTGTTTGGTGTAATTTTGAAGCACAGATGAAGGTTATGACGGTTTCCTTACTTCGCCAATTAAGTTCTGCGATTGTTGATCCTTGATCCAAGATGGTATACAGAAGATTTAAAAAGAGAGCTTATTAATTGTTGCGCCCTTCAAGCCAAGTGCCGAATTATATTATTAGAGTTTATTGTGTAGTTTCTTTATTTGATGGTTTTAAATGCTACAGATGGAAGGAGGAGAGGGGGAGGTTAGGTGGTCATTCTACGTATTAATACTCTATTTTTGAGTGCGATGGTCAATAATCACTATTTAATTTAGGTCAAGCGTTCTTGAACTGAATTTTACTTAACACCAGTGCTGCTTTCAAATTCCTTAATGGCGAGTTAAAGTGGCTTTTACCCTCTTTCCACTGACATTTCTTCCTTAGATCTTATCTATGCCAAATAATCAACTCTTAGTTCACTCAAAGAAAACGAGATCCTGTATTTCTGACATCTATACACATCCCTCATAACTAAAACCTTCAAACGTTCCTATCTTGCCCTCTCCACAGCCTTCTAGAATTCCCTGTCATATAATATCTGCCTTGCCTCTTTCCTGTGCTTATTTTCCATTACCTTCTCAGATCCAAACAGTTGCTCTGCTATTATAAAATTAGAATAGAATAGAAATTAATATTATTCTGGGACGAAGTCCCTTTAGAACAGCAAAAAATTACAAAATTAAAATATTATATCTGGCCAAACAAAAAGTAAAAATAAAGAGAAATAAGTAAAGAAAATATTATTATACATACTATATACAAAATAAAAGAGAAATCTATATACAAAACTCTTGAAACCATGCCAAGACACTTAAAATCATGTACAATGGTAAAATATAAATATATACTTTTAGAAAAAATACATTACATTCTTCTTATACATTACAGTAAACTCTGTTTCTGTTGAAAAAAAAGAAAGAAAGAAAGTCGAATCTGATAGTAAGTATTTAAGTGATGAGCTATGTGTAAATACGTCATTATGAATAGTATGAAATTTTACATAAAAGTTTAGTGGGTATCTGACTGTTTTTGGGACAAGAATTGGAATAAGAGGGTTTTAAATGTAGGTAGCGAGGAAGAATGCCGAATTTTGATAGGAAGGGAATTCCATAAATTAACAGAGTGAGCAATCAAGGAGTTTTGGAAAGAGGCAGTTCTGTGAGAAGGAATGTTAAGGTCGGAAGGTCTTGAATTGAAGAAGGTTGTAGGGCGATGATTGTTGATGATTTGATAGAGGAACGTACCTAGGAAATATTGTCTTCGAATGGAGGGGAAGAGCCACTTTAACTCAGTGTAGAGGTAGGAGACTTGGGAGTATCTTACAAATCTCATGCAACTGTTCATTAATCTTTTCAGTCTGTCACTGAACTCCACCGAGAGTCCATCATACACCAGACAGCTCTAGTCAAAGTGAGGGAAGATGAGATAGGAAACCAGGATGGCGGAAACAATGGAATAGTTTGAGGGTAGAAATTGTCCATCGATAGATGTGAGAAATATGGTGACTCCAGGAGAGGGTTTGATCAATGAAAAATCCTATATTTTTGACAGAGGAGTAGAAGATTGGCTGGTCACCAAGGTTTAGTATGGGAAAGTCAGTATAAGATCTAGGGAGGGGCTTGGAACCAATGACAATAGCCTGAATTTTAGCAACATTTAACCTTAATCCATTTAAGTTTGCTGAGGCACAGATTCGATCTAGGTCTGCTTGGATCTTAGTGAATGCTACCAATGGCTCAAGGGGAGAAAAGGATAGATATATTTGAGAATCGTCTGCATAAAGGTGGTGGGAACAATGGAGAATTGAGTCATGTAGGTCGTTAATATAAGAACTAAAAAGGAGAGGACATACACTAGATCCTTGGGCAACTCCAGAGGATTTATGTTTGATGATCAGAGTTTTGTAGTGAATAGTAGTTTTTATTGTTTTATGTTTTAACTTTTAAACCAGTACTAAGTGTTTCTATCTTTTTCTTCCTTTCTTTGATTTTTTTAATTACAATTATGGTTATTCTCAAAGTCTTTATTGTTTAAAATTTTTGCTAGATATGGTTTTTGTTGAAATGTAAATGCTTATTATTCCTGAAGTATCTTGTTCCAGAATATAGTTTATTTCTATCTATTTTTTATTTTTATTTTATAAAATCAATTTTTGATGAACCGTCAACTTTACAATTTGTGTTACGAGTTAGGACTATTTCATACATTGTATAGGAGTAGAATAAAACTTTGTTGTTTGTGAAATAATTTGCTACATTGTTTATAAGTAACAGTAAATACATCATTTAACATGTCTATAAACCAACTAATATCAAAAGAGCGAATATAGCATAGTTCCTATATTAAATTAAAGGTGTGAAGAAATGAAAAAAGAAAAGACTAGTACTAATCTATTTTCAATTATGTTCTGAATATAGTAGCTTGTTTTTGGTTTGTTATTAAAGAGATATGATGTTTATAACTGCAGTTTATATTGGTATCTTAATATTTTTCAAAATGTACAGTCGTAGAAGAAAATGGACAGTGATGCATGAATTTAACAGATTAGATGTAGGCAAAACATTAATATTCATTAACTGTGTGGCTTCATATAAAATATGGACATATGCCATTTTTGGGAAGTAGAGAAAAGTCAATATTTATTTTATTGGTTCAACTCAAACTGTCACTAATGATTTTCCTTAACAATGTTCAAGTTGAATCGTGAAAAAGAACAATTAGAATTGGTTTAAACTGAAGCTATGTTACAGAAAATTTGTCCTTTTCTCACATTTTTAAAAATGACTAATGTCCATCTTTGATGAGGAAGGAAGACGGGATGGTTGGGCACATTGGGGCGTGGGTTCCAGAGTGCCCGGTTCTGAACGTTGTGGGTTTGATTCCCACCTGGGTCGGTTACTTTTCATTTCTCGGCGGCCCCGGGAAATGGATCGTGACGTTCCCCCATCCAGTACCAGTTGATACGAGGAAATTCAATTGGTTTAAATGAATATGTATGTCATAATTTTTCGCTTCAAATGAAAATACCTATTTCTATTTGCTCTATTACTTGTTTATTAATACGGTTGTTAAAAACTTTCATCTTCTACATGTTTGAACTGAGGCATCATGATTGTAAGAAATAAGTATTATTTCTATGTATGGATTGTATATTACTTTGAAGTAAAACATTCATTAGGAGTAAAGAATATGATGCTTTTTTTTTTTTTATTATTTATAAATTTATTTCAAAATTTAAAGGATTATCACAAGGAAATGAAAAAATTAACTTTATGCAATAGTGAATCATTAGTTTATTTATGTTGAAAAAAAATATTATAATTAATAAATTATAATTTAAAATTTTTAAGATTAAGTAATTAAAATTTACTGCTGATCAGCTAGTTTTCCTTAGTAAAAATGAATTACTAAGAAGTTTAACATCATAAAATTAACTAAAATAACATAAAACACCCATATCCTGGCGAAATAGCTACATACATAGTTGGCGCAACAACCTGTTAACTGGCCTCTGACGGAGTCAGCCCATCTCTCATTTGGCCTACTCACTCTTCACTTGCCATGAAGTTCTTCAGCCAATGTCCCCTTAGAGATCTCGTCCTTTATCCTTGCCACGTAGCCCACCCATCGGAGTCTCCCAATCTTTCCACTTGATGATATCAGGATCTCATTACAGCCTTGTTCGTACTTCTTCCCCATATGTCTCCCTCTCGAACCGGGCCAAAAATTCTTCTCAACATCTTCCGTTTAAACACCAGAAGATCTCACCAGGTCTTTCGGACCCATACGTAAGAATTGGATGAATCAGGGTCTTATATAGGTTGATCTTGGTCTTGTTGGAGAGGTGTCTGCTCTTAAAGTATTTTGCGTGTCCAAAATAGCTTCGATTGGCTGCATCAATTGTGCGGTTGATCTTCTGCGATAGGTCATTTTGGGTGTTCATTTCCGAGCCCAGTATACGAAACTTCCCACTCTCTCAAATCTGTCCTGAACTCTCTCCCTACCTCTGATGGTCCTATTCTTATATACTTTGTCTTGGCTTTGTTAATGACCAACCCAAGAATTTTTGCTTGTTCTAGAGCCAGGAATGCTTCTTTTAGGGCATGCTCCGATCTGACAGCTATGTCGAAGTTATCTGTGTACCCCAGTAATTAGACCGTACTGTTAAATAAGTTGGCCCGTGTTTTGGTTCTTAATCTCTACGTGTACTCCTTGCTCAACCACCAAATTAAGTAATGCAAGGGTGTCTCCCTGTCCCACGCCGCAGGTCATGGCACTAGGGTTAGATTGGTCAGATCCTGTAAAAACTACGCTGTTCGACCCCCACATGGTCATTCTCACCAGACGAATCAGCTTCCTGGGTGTCCATTTCTTCTATCGCCTGGTATAGCTCGGTTCGGGTTACACTATCATACCCAGACTTGAATTTCAGGAAGAGGTGGTGCGTAACAATCTTGTATTCCATTACTTTTTCCAGAATCATTCTCAGAGAGCAGATCTGGTCCGTGGTTGATCTACCCCTTCCGAATCCAGCCTGGTAATTGCCTATTTCTCTTTCAGCCTGGAGGAAGAGTCTCTTGAAAAGGATGTTTGACATCTCCCTGTAGGCACTCGAAATGAGAGACTATACCCGTGTAGTTATCACATTCTGTTTGGTCGCCGTTGTGAAGCGGGCAAATAACTCCTTGTTTCCAAACTTGTTACAACCTTTCTTCTTTCCATATTGTAAGAATGAGGTGGTGCCACAAGGCTATAGCCATAAATAGGTCTTCAGGTACCCGCTGAAAATCGTTGTTAATATAAAAGAATTCTCTTCCCATTCTCCTGCTGTTCTGTAGCTTGTCGTGCATTCTTTGCAAAAATAAGGACTTTCTCAAAACGACGTAGGACAAATTGTTAAAAATCGGGACTGTTCCGCCAGAAGCATGGGATGTCTGGTCACCTTAGTTAATATATATATCAACATGACAAATTCTGATTAATGAGTGTCATCAACTGGATATTCAAGCTGTTCACACTTCCCTTTATCTATTATTGACAGCCCTATCAATCTACAATTAAATCTTTTTATTATTTTAAAAAAGTTAAAAATGTATTATATATTTTTGTCTTTTACAAATGAATGATTATAGTATATGACAAAAATTTTTATGAAGTAATCACTCCATCATGTCATAAACACAAATTTTATTCCCCATCAACAGTTGTAATTACATTGTAATTACCCGTGTAGTAGGGTATCAATAGTGAATCAGGTTGCATCTTAACTTTTGTTATTCTTGTCCAAATACATTATTCATTTATCCTTTTTATTAAATTTAATATGTTTTATTTATCTTTATGTTTTAGCTGCCATCAACAGTGCGCCTGTAGAAAATTCCTCAAGCAAAGAAGCTGTGAATAGTACCGAAGGACCAAAAGGCCCACGCAGGAACAACAGGCAGAAGAGGACCGAGAAGGTGAAGGAGTTGTACAACGGAACGACCTAAAAAGGAAAAGATGCGGGGGGAGGAGGATCTAGTCACCATGGCTCACTGCCTGTTGCTGAAACAAGGACACTAACCGATATTTCCACTTCTCCCTCGTCCGCATTACTTGCTACTTTGTTTTGTGCTGTGCCAATGGCTGCAGGCAGTGGGCAAAGGAAGAACTAGGTTTCACCATCGCTGGCAACATCTCTTTCCTCATTTATCTTTTCTGTTTTTCTCTCTTTTTTTTCATATCTATTTCTCGGAAACAAAAATCTCTTTGTTATATCTAATTCTGAGTTAAACATCAAGCGTTTGACTAGAAACCCCTCCTCATATTTATTTGTAAGACGTTGTAGATATATTGACTTTTCTTTTCTTTTTTTCCCCCTGATTATGAATATCTTGCTCAGATAGGTTAATGAACAGATTTTCTTTCTGTTTTCTCTTGCTATACAATTCTTGTGTTTTGTGTTATAATGTGTTATTCGCTTAATATTTTGGCTAACACCATTTACAAATATTGCTATCTGCAAATAAAGGATTTAAAATCCAGATCGATAATTTTTATTTTTTGCTTTTTATGTTTTTTTAATATATTTTTCTCAAACATCAAGAAATTCATTTGGAGGGACGCTTACTGTCTTTACTGTACTTATTAATTTCAAATTATTCTTGTTTGTGAGGTAATAAGATTTGATATGAATGATTTTAAGAAAAAGATTTAATTTAATTTTGTTTGTTTAATTGTTTAGTTGGAACTTATTTGAAAAGTGTATGCTATGAAAAAGCTGTTTCATACAAATGCTTGTAAGTTTTTGATAAATAACAAAGTTAAATCAGATTCTTATTATGGTAATAAATACAGATATTTACTTTGGCAAAGACATAATTATATGTTTTGGGTGGAAAAAATATGGGTTGCATAACATACAAATGCTAATTAAACTTTTTTTTACCTCTGAGGTACACAAAAGAGTTTAGTGAGTGGTAATGTATGAAGATTTTGACTATAAAATGATGAGGATCTATAAAATATAAAATTAAAGTCAAGGACAGCTGGGTTATACTGAGGTGACGTTATCTGGCGATGGTCACTGATGTGTTAACAGTTATCGTGTTATATTCAATAATAATATATATAGATATTCTTCTAAATAATTTAAATCTTATCAATTAAGATTTCTCATAATAATATTAATATTATTAATAAGAATAATAGCCAGTATATACATATACTGATATATGTATAATAGTTTATGCCACTTGCTTTATTCCCTATAGAATTCAGTCTATTTGTTAGTTGTAAACTTATTATAGATGAACAATGTCAGTTAAATTTTTTCACACATAATTTAGCCGTTTAGAAACAGATTCTACCTTATAAATATTCCTAAGAATACCGATTGTTTTATGTACAACAATTCTTTTCTAACCCTTCAAGGTATGTTTTGACTTATTTTATTTTAAGAATTCCAAAATTGTATATTCTAATGTGTGGTGTAGTTATTGTTTTTGATGTGTACCATTCAAGCCAAGTTGATTATATAGCATTGTTCTTAAATATGTTTAGATTACTAGTGATGTAGCCACTGTTTTTGCCTTCATATAATTACTAAGATTTGGTTTCTTTTTTTTTTTTTCTTTTTCTTTTTTTTTTAATTTAACTAATCTATATCTGGGGAATAAGCAGAACTAAAAGTCATGATATGTTCCCATTAAAATACGCTTTTAATTTTGTAACTTAATTTGACTTATAATTTATTCATTATTAACACAAAGATTGAGACTTTTAAAGCGTACGGTTTTACTATGTACGAATTAATGTGATCCATGTTATGAAATTGAAAGCGTAGTTTCTTGACATTATTTGTGTGATTATTAAAAGGAAGATGTGTATTACTTCCTTACCATAATATTAATACTATGTAATATCTATGCTCATGCTATGATATTCTGATTATCACTATCACTGATCAAAAAAGGGTTCAGATCGCTAATTAATTTGCGTTTTTATATAAAAATTTTATTTGTGAATTTGTTTTTGCGTGAAGGTCTGAACTTTGTAAAATCCCAACCGAAGTCTGCGGAACACTAATGTTGACAATTACGAATATCAGAAGTGGATTTTGACATTGAGCACAGCTGTTTGTATTACGCTATGAACAGTTAAAAGTGTATTTGTAAGTAATATTTCTTGTCATACCACGGGCGTGGAAACATTTTTGATATTCTTTCCCCACCCGTTCCTGAATATATATATAAATATATATATAAGATTTTTTGTATTGTTAGAACCCTGTAATTGTATTTAAAGTGATTGAAAAAAAAAATGTAAATTATAATTTGCTTTTTATTTGTTCCCTTCTGCTTTGTTTTTTCTTGAAACTATCAAACCCTGTTTGTAATCACATTCCTTTTCCTGTTGATAATTTCATTTCCTTTACAGTCACAAAATGTCAGCCTATTCCAACACCATTTCTGTTTTATTAATGGTTATTATTTGTGTTTTTATATCTGTAGGCTATAAAATTCGTGAAGACAAAACCAAATGTCCCAAAGTGAAAGCATTAAGAAATTTTGATTTAAATCAAGTAAGTTTTGTTAAAATATCTACAAAAGTTTGGAAGTAAATTTTAATTTAATGTAATTGCACTATTATATACTTTTTTTTTTTGTAAGATGTTAGGCTTTTGGTATGTTGTTCAATATTATGCTACTTCTGAAGAGGAATTGATTTATAAATGTATGAGAGCAGTGTTTTCAATGCCAACAGAGGGGATGGAAGTAGAAATGAATGTAACCTATAGCTTTATAGATGATCCTGATAATGACTTACTTTGTGGTAATATTACTTGGAGGATACCTGATCCATCTCAACCTGCCCATTGGCTCCATGAAGAAGATACCTGTATGTATTTGTAGAATATATTCCAGTCAATTGTTTTACTTTTAAATTAACCACAATTCTGTATGAATAGATGAAGCGTTTGCTTGGTTAGGTCTTGTGTTTTATAAGCAGTTGTCCAAGTATTTTCAGTTTGTTAATTAGGACTCGAACCCATTTTTAAAAATTTAAATCGAGTAATTTTTATTGAAAAATAAATACCTGAAGTAAAACTGTGAACAGATATTAAGATATTACTAACTCGGCTGACTTACTATGCCAAGTTATCTGACATGTATTTTTAATTATCCTAGAAAATATACACCTATAATACAGAAAGGTTGGTTCCCTTATAAGATTATATCATTTGGTTTCTAGGGGACATTAGAATTCTGAGAAGATAAGAAAGTTTTAGTTAAGCTAATTTTTTTTTTTTGAGGAAGTTGCAAACATAAGGAGAAGTATTACAGGATAAGTTTGTATGGTCGAATAACCTAATATTTACTATGACTAAATATTTATTTGTAAGCTAGGCTTAATGATTATGGATTATCCTCTTAAGATTCTGGGTATGGTTTCTCTTTAATAGCAAAAAATAAATATAGATTATTCTATTAGCTCTAAAATCAAGGAGTAAAAATATATGGAATTAATTATCATAAACATGGAATCACTTCATCTATATAATCGTATTGTTTTAGTAATTTTTTTTTTTTAGAATTATAACAATAGTAAATAATGAGTTATTTAGTCAGAGCTGTATAATACAAAGTACTATGGGGTGAGTTTATAGAGAAAGTATATAAAATGTCAAAGGAATAAGTTAATAATTAAACATTTGAAGGTGAAGAAAACAAACAATCTATAAAATTGAAAGTAATGCATAGCCTTTTAAATTTCTCTTGGTTAAGTCTGTGTCGATAGGGAACTTGTGGACATCAGGACATACACTTAGTGTAGAAAAAGGTTTGTTATTTCGATAAATTTTTGGATCAATAAATGACTTAGAAATTCAGATTAATGTGAGTAAAATTTTAGCTTTATGAAAAGTGTACTTAAAGACTATGCTATAAACTGATGATGTTTAAACAAATGAAAATATCCATAGGGAAATGTAAATAAATTTATTATCATTGCCTAACCTAAATGGGACCTCTCATGATAAAATGGTCCTCTGCTTATGATCTATGTCAAAGATAGGGAACTGCAGCCTCCCAAACGTTTTTGCATGATACTTAATAAACTAATGCAAGAATTAATTATTTAGGTTACCAAAATGAATAGAATTAAGTTGAATATATGTAAATTGGTGTGTGTATTTAGTGACTAATAAAAATAGGAACAAAAATATAAAAACTTGTTGCGGCCTCTAATGATAAAAGGGTTCCCCACCTGTGGTCTAAGTTATTAACAATATGAGAATAGTATTTTATTTCACTTAAAAATATTGAGGATAGGTCATTGCTTCACAGAAGTAGCTCATTTGCCCATCATAAGTTTTATCATGCCTTCGCCGTTATTTTCCTTTCATCAAAATTAGTTTGGATAATTGGACTTCAACTGTATTAACTGGACAAGATAATTAGAGAATCAATGCAGAAGAAAACATTGAAGAAGTGTAAAGAATGACATGAGGCTGATAAAAGGTATAGATATAATCAAAAAGAATATTATAAATAATAATAGACATTTCAGTAATTATAAATTAAATGTGGGAAATAAGAATAATATAAAACAAAATAGAAGTTGCTTTAAAAATAAGATAAATTTATGATAAAATCCTAGTTATAAAAGTTTATCAGGGGTACCTATTCCCCTCAAGGTTGATGGCGCATGAATAACTCCTCTCAAAACATTTTATTGCTCTCTTCTTAAAAATGTGTAAGAGATAGTAGAATTAGAAAATTCGTAGATCATATGGAATTATACTTGATGTGGATTTTTGCATGGTTTTTCTCTTAGTTAAAAACTTGGCATTCCAAAATTTCATGACCTCTTCAAAATGTACCTCAAAAACTTTGATGGAGCAATTCCTGCCACGAAATCCCCAATTAGGAATACAAATTTATATTATAACCTTATGAGTTCAACGGTCAGACAGGAATTTAACAAGCTGGGGAAAAGCATATATATA